GTCAATGGCGAGATTCTGCGCCTGCTATCCGACATGACATCCCGAACGGATGCTCTCAAGGCTAGCACTAAGGTAATGGATACGTCTCTCGAAGACGTACACATTACCAAGGGCCACCAGCTACGAGACTCAATCTCCAGCATCCTCACCATGGACAGTCCAGCCACAGGCAGTGCCATCGAGACCCCAGGAAGCTCTCCTGCGTCGTCAGTCATCATGACCGGTAACGGATACAAGCGTGCCTCAACGCCCATGGGCGGATCAAGCCGTCGCGAAAGTTCAGTCGGGAGTGCCGCAGCCCGCTCGACGATACCCCCAAACCGTCGTTATTCCAGCTTGCCGCAGCCCACGGCAACTTACACCGGCCGAAAGTCCTCAATCCCGCAACCGACGGGCTTGATCTCTCCTACTCCATCCTACAGATCCTCAAACTACTTCACCCCTACCCCGGCCGCTCGCTCTCGTACACCCGCGGCGCCATCTACAATTCCCAATCGCCCACGCTGGAACGGCAGTACGAACGTGAACGACACAGCTATTAGTTACAACTCGACACTGCGGAAGTCATCCGCACCACTCGCCCGCACACCCCGACCATCCTCAACACTCCCATTCACCAACACTTTCCGACGAGAGACGTCTGCATCCCCGATTCCCGGCGGTCTTCGATCGACCAGTCGCGTCTCGAGCCGCCTTGGTTCTCGGAGTCCCAATCAGAACGTGTCGTCTCCCACACCAGCGCGATCCTCGCTGCTCGATCCACCGCCGTACAGCCGGCTCTATCGACAATCAGGGATGCCAAACACACCTCGCACTCGCCAAAGTTTCGCGGGTCCGCCCACAGCTTTCAGTCGAAGTGTGTCCGGAACTACAGGTGGGATGGAGAGCCCAACCAAATCATCACGACCGGGTACATCGCTAGGCCATGCCAGCAACAGGCGAACCAGTCTGCTCCCGCTTCCGAAGCGCATGGAGAAAGAACAGACAACCCCCAAACCGGTGGATACGCGTCCACGATGGCGCTAATGGCAACTGAGTTGTATATTTCGCGCTGTTCATTAGCTACGCCTGTGTCACCTATAGTCCTCATCATCTTCTCTCCCACTTACTCATTCTATCCTCTATCTTCCTTGCCCTCCGAATTCTATCTACCCTTCTACGACCTTGTTCTATCTATGTTCTATCTATTTATTTTCTTTTTACTTGTGCATTTACACCCCTTCGCCCTCGTTTGGATCTCGATTTCCAAATCGGTGTTCAGTCGGTGTGAAGCGGAGCCATAATCTTGACAAGTCAGGTTTTGCGTGATATCCCTATTCGTTTGCATGGTATGGTCTGAGCGTTGGGGTCGTCTATTTCCCTGTTATTTTCTCTTTTCAAGTCTCATTGATTATCACTCCACTTCTCTTCCCTGTGAATATTATTCCTTGTAGTTTTATCTAGTTGTGTCTTTGGTCCTGGAAATGACATTACTCTTTTCTCATACAGCTTATTGTCAAGGCATAGATCGTACTCTGCAGGATGTTCATCATTCATAACAACGTGGTCTATGTACTCGAAACGGCAACTCTTTATATGCGAAACATGTATGAACATCTCAAACTAAAAAAGAAACAGAAACCGAAACTTTCCATTTAATTTCCCAGCTCACGTCCGAAAATCAGTGCATCCACCAACTCCTCGCTGTTCGCCAACCGCGCAGCCTTGGGAACCCGGCCAATAACACTAAATCCTAGCCTCTCCCAGATACGGATAGAGACCGGGTTATTGGCGAAGACCAAGTTGAAGACTGAGTATGTGTATCCCTACCAAAAGAGTTAGTCACGCCTATACTATGTTCGATTGGGTAACAGCTGCGAAGTGCAAGGCTCAAATCCGGGGGTGGTGATGGTAGAGACATACCAATCTCGGGGCAAATTCCAAGTAAGCTTCGCCCATAGCCTGTCCAACACCCTTTCCGCGTGCGGCAGTGGTAGTGAGAAAGCCTGCATTGCAGATATGGGAGCAGCGGCCTATTGGAGTTAGTATATCTATTCCTTATTCCTTATTCCTATAGAGGTTGATGTTGATGTAAATAATGTAAAACCACATACCAGGATAGTTAGGCTTGGTATAAAAAGTTCCCAAACAAACACTCTCCCAATCCCTTCCCTCCCTTAAACCCTCGCCTTCATCGTCCAAAATCGCAAGGGCTGCAAACGTCCCGAACCAATAATTAGCGAATTGATCCAGGGACATCGGCTGCTCCATCGGGTATGTCCCGCCGCGGAGGATCTCCGCGCTGAACTCCTCGTGCAGGAATTTGATTAGGTCTTTGGGGACTGATTGCGGTCCTTCTGTGATGGGGTAGAGTGTCATTGGTGCGGAGGAGAACTTGGGGAGAGTAATTTTCCTCGCTGTTAGGGTCGGCGCTGCATCTGTGTGTGCTTTTGGTGGGGGATTGCGGGTTGTTGGGTCTTCTAGGATGGAGGGCATGGTGAATGAGTGAGGTTTTTTTTTGGGAATATGGGTGAAGTGTGGTAGAATCTCAATTGGACAATTGAAAGTGGTTGAAAGGGGATTTGGCGATTGATATACCCTTTTCTTTCTATCTCCATATCGGAGCCGATTTTGCATGAGTCAGCTTGTCATTGGTAGGGCGTTCTCCACTGAAGGAGTACATGGTTTGTCTTGTCGTTGATCGTTTCTCTGCTATGTGCTAGAACATGATAGATGGATATAGGGCTGGAATTACTTTTTGTGCATGGACGGTCACCTTGTCAATGTTCACGAACATGCGAAATATCCCCAGGTGTCTCTCGGAATGGTTCCGCGACAATATAAGGTACCAAAATGTATTCATAGAGACTATACTCCATAATATATATACTTAACTTAGGTGCAGACCTGAATTATCAAACCTGTTAAATCAACTGAAAGCCTCGTCTCTTCTATTCCTACACCTAGTATATACATATGGGATGGTGGGGGGAGATGCCTGCATCTCCCAGCATAACCATATCAGACACGCTTGACGGCCCTGAGATCAAGCACTCTGCACTCGAGGATCAGTTCGGACTGATGGGGCAGCCAAGACCTCTTTTTTCAAGTTCATGTCACCAACTCTCGGGGTGGTAGTGTCAACCTCGGTCCAATGCAATCAATCGAAAACTCATTGACCCTGTCCTTCTCCCTCATTCCTTAGAGCCTGCATAAGCTCGAGTAACTGTCCAAGTTGCTGATCTGTAATGAATAACAACGATTAGCAAATTGATTAAATTGGTTAACCAAGACCGAGTCCAAACAACAGTCGAGAAACATACCACTCATTTTATCCAACTTGGCCTGGTCCAGCTTATCTCCAGCCCATTGATCACCCTCCAACTTCTGCGCATATAACTGCCATTCAGTCAAGAACCCGATCTATCATTTCTAAGATTAGCGACTGCATCAACAAGCCCTTTCTCTTCCGCCATGCCTCCCGTTCTTTCCAACTCGGTATAACCACACCAACCCAGACAAGAAGAAACATACAATATGCAATGGGTTCTCCACGCTGCGGTGCGCACGGAACTCGTTCTTCACGTAAGAATCGCCCAAGACACGCATCTCGGGTTCGAGCTTGCGGTGGACGCGTAGAATGCGCCGGTAGAGCTGTAGCGGCGGGAGGAGAGCGAGAGCCTCACTAAGGCTGGACTTTGAGCCGATCGAGGCCGGCGTGGCCATGAGTAAACGCTGAGCAATGCGCATCTTGAATTGAATATGTGGGAGGTTGGTTTTAGGGAAGATTAGGAAGATTGAGGAATGACATAATTGGGGGATTTTCGACCTCGGGGAGGCAAAGGCGGCGAGGAGATCGCGCGAATCAGCGGGTCGGGATGTCTCGGGATTGAAGATTTACCTTTGGAGATTTCCTTCTTTACCATTTACTGATATTTGGGATATCGGGGATATTTGGAATATTTGATTCAAGGGTTCACATTGGGATATTGGGATATTCTAATTGAGTGGATTATAGTACTCTTTTTTCCCTGTGAAATTGTGATCGCTTCCGGATTCTGCAACATATAAATTCGAGATAACCCCCACTATCTCCAAAAAGAAAAGACTTGATATACCTCATACCCACCATGCTTCCCACACCAGATACTTCACATGTATCCTTCGACACCATCTACGAGCCATCCGAAGATTCATACCTCTTTCTAGACACATTGTCATCAGCATCCGAATCAAAATGGCTCTCTGAACGATTCCCAAAGAACCAAGAGGCATCACCACTAGTCGTCGAAGTAGGCACAGGCTCTGGCGTTGTGCTAGCCTTCACAGCCGCGCAATCTCAACAGATCTTCGGCCGACGCGATATTCTCACACTAGGCACCGATGTGAATCGCAATGCCTGCATCGCAACGCGGAAGACCGCAACAACAGCCATTCAAGCAGAGCAACAGCCGTCTCCTCAATCAATTCACATCTCGTCATTGACAGCCGATCTGTGTGCGCCTCTTCGTCCTGGCAGTGTTGATGTCCTCCTATTCAACCCACCCTATGTTCCGACTGAGGATCTACCGCGTCTGCCTTCTGCGGCGGAAAATGACCCCGCTGTTTCGGAGGCCATGTCTCGCTCTGCTAAGTTCGATAATGACTCGTACTTCTTGTCTTTGACGTATGCGGGTGGTGCGGATGGGATGGAAACTACCCATAGGCTGCTTGATGCTATTCCGGGTGTGCTGTCTGTGCGTGGTGTGGCGTATGTCTTGCTCTGCAAGCAGAATCGACCTGATCAGGTTATGGAGCGGATCCGTGGCTGGGGTGGTTGGCAGGTTGAGACGGCGGGGTCGAGTGGGATGCAGGCTGGGTGGGAGAAATTGGTTATTGTGAGGATATGGAGAAAAGATAGCTCATGATGAATACATAAATTGAATAACGATAATACCATTTGTGAATCGATCAACTAGAAATAAGGATACATGTACACTCAACAATTGTCGGCTTGGTACTTCACCAATGGTGAAAATAATTCATGCCCATTCCCATTCGACGTAGCGCTCGAAGCCAGTGGCGCCGGATCCCTCGAGGATATCAAACACCTTCTGGGGCGCGTTCTTTCCAGGTCGCATTGGCCAGTGAGCCACGATTGTGTGATTGCCCCTCATCTTCAACCCATATCTTTCCGTGATTTTGTCGAAGCCATGGGCCTTTTTGTAAAGATCAAACAATTTACTGACATTGCAGACAAAAGAGCTTGATCTCCTTCTTCTTAATTGGTCTGCATCGTTGGGATCCGTTGTCTCGGGTTCAGGGAGGTATTTCGCAACACAAGCGATGTCCTTGTCAATTGTGTCCATACTAAACATTTGCTCAATGTCGCAGATAAAGAGGACAAGGATCATGGCCTTTGGGTTCTGGATTTTCGGTTTCAGCAACGGGATATTGAGGGCGAGGGTGCTGTCAATCCCAAGCACGTCCTTTTCTGCGTTTATGTATGTCTGTATCCAATTAGTATCGTCTTAATAACACAATTGGATGGAGATTAGACGGGTAGGGGAGCTCTGGGTGGTTGGATTACCTCAATTCTGTCAAATCCTGGATGTTTTATCCTTCGAAAATATCCTGGTAGACTCAGTGTATCGACAGAAATAAGTCGAATGGCGATGCGCCGCTTCCTAAGTTGTCGACAGAAACGCAACAAAGTCTCTCGGAGGTGGATGAATAGCATACCGTACAGGTCATTCTTCGCGGGATAATTTGCAGTGTACGCTCCAGTGCATACCTCCTGGATGTCCCAGCTGCCGCGCGGATCTGCAGAGTCTGGCATAGGCCAAGAACGACCAGTAGAGAAAAACATCCTAATTGTATTAGTGGCCTTGCAAGAACAATGAGAAGTTGGAGAAACTCACGGGTTAGGAGTGTCAAATTCTTTGCGTGAGCATCCGAACGGCAACAATATTCCATCTCGGAGGAACTTCATCGTGCAGAGACGCCAATATCGAGGCTGTGCGTATAGATACCTGTGGAGTGCATCTACTCTTCCGTCTGGCAACGTGACATCTTGTCGATTGCGGGTAGCTTCTGAAGCAGAAAAACGACCAGGAAATCGAAGAGTGTATCGAAGGCGTTTCCACTCCTCTCTCAGAAGTTCTACTTGTAAGCATGATGTTTTCGTCTTCCAGGCCCATTTGAAAAACCGCTCGGGACGTTTCAGTTCAGCTTGGGAGCAGACTTCGTCAATCAACGGCAGGAGCTTGGATTGAAGTGCTGCGAGAACAGACGAGGGTATCAATGCTGAATACCACAAGTGAATCATGATAGGGGCGGCTTTCTCTGGTGGAAAATGGAAAGCCGTCAAAGCAAGGACGATATTCTGTGCGAAAACCTCAAAGCTGACGCCATTCGCCGCGATCTCACATTGTCCCGAATACGAATCTGGTAAACGAGCGACTGTTTCGACTATGTTTCGAATATCGTGTGATGCTATCATGAATTGTGTTAGTTGAACGAATCGGTTGTTGGAGTGCAGACAGTCTCTTACATGTGAGGAGAATACGCATCTTGGAGGATGCATCCTGGCCTTCATTTCCATCCAGTTTCAGCAAATCCAATGCTGGCATGCCTCCCCACCATGATATTTTGCCGGCATCTGAATTCGGTTTAACTGGATCCGCTCGGACGAAAGTTGGGTCTCGATCTTCAGTATGCCAGTCTGGCTTCCATGTACCCTTTGCTAGAGCGTTGTTACAATCCTCTTTGTGCGCAGGCCAATGTTCTTTTTGGCATTCTCTGCTGCAGTACTGTTTTGATTTTCGTTAGAATATGATATAGGGCCTTCGAGAGATCAAATTGATGGAGACTTACCACAACTAAGTAACATCGGCCACAAGCATTGTTGGCTTTGGAGGTCTTGTTGGGACATGGTGAATTTATCTCATTCGCACAGAATGTGGGATTTAGGAATTTGCCGAAGCTTGACATGATGGAAGTATGGATTCTAGCAAGATTGATGAAACTTGTGCACCGTAACTAAGTTTCGAAAAGGAGAAAGAGAAAGATCGAAGATCGAAGAGGGATGGAAGATGAAAAGAATGAAAAGACAAATAGCAGGCTCAGTAAAGAATGCCTTCGACACTGGATCACCGCCCTTAATATGCCAATGCCTTCTAGGATTGCCAGAGAGATCACCACAGCAAACAGCAAACAGCAAACACCGCCCTATCGAATAACTTTGACTTACTTCCGATCCACTCAAATGCAGCCACCAGCTAAGGTTACCTTGTGTACTGCTAAATGAGTACGGACAATGAGATCAAACCAATCACTTCGGAAAAGACATTGATTGTGCATTTAGTTTAATGTTTCCCTGTCTCTCTTTGCACAGCTTCATCTCATAAACACAGCTAGTAGTCTGGTCACTTTACAACCAACACCTTATTTTACCTCTTCTATTTCTTCTCCAAACTCTTCTCGTCCATTGTCTTGCTCCTCAACTACTCATCCCATAATGGTAACCATGACGGGGTTCCCTCTCCCATTGACGGACGAACTTTACGCTGGCCATTAGATGCCTCCCAGACTTCTGGTTATTCAATCCCCTCTACACAGGCTCCAGGTCGTTATGGGTAAATTTAGGTACTGCAGATCCTCAAAAATGTCTCCCATCAGGCTGGTCCCCAACGAGATACTATTCGCCTAGGAGGATCATTTATCCGAGCGGTTGGGCGATGGCCAAGAATTATACAAGCGCCGAGGAGACTATAGGGACATGTTGCCCTATTTATCGGCAGGCACTTGGCACTAGTCTGAACCAGTGATAGCAGGAGAATGGAATATAGGCCGATATGATGTTACTATAGACCAAGTAGCTAGACATATACTACACGAGCATCTTGTATGAAAACAACGTCGTAACCGGGGCCGAAGTTAGGCCAGTCGACTTCCAACGAAGCTCAACACCATATCTGTGTCCTAACCATCAATGCCCAATACAATAAAGCCGATATTCGTTTTTATAGTAACGATTGTGTTTGTGTGCTTATATGTCCAGTTCATATCGACCGTAGCGCCGAGACCGCAAGCCTCGATAATCCACCACTTCAGCAGTTATGACACCGACAACGACAACAGCAGCAACAACGACTCAAGTGTTAGAAGAGAACTCCTCGGGCTTTTCAACAAGTGCTAAAGCAGACACAAGTGTTTGAGTTGGACTAGGGACTATCTTGACTACCTTGTCTATTCAAGGGATTGGGTTTGTATTCTTCATGGACGAGAACGCTAAGGGAACGATGGGGGAAAGGAACCATCTGAGCATGCGGAAACTAAGAACGTTACTCCGCAGTATGCGATTCATGACTTGGACTCCAATCCTGTCTTTGAGACCAACCCCCAGACCATTGATGGGGGCCTCAAAGACAGCGTTTAGGACACGTCCACGATTGAAAGAACCAGTTGTGCCGGAAGGGCCGAGTGCGAGATCGGTGGATTTGGATGCATTGTATAATCTCATTGTAGCAGTGTAACTTGTTCAGGTGTTTGGAGTGTCACTTGGAAATGTACTTTATGATAACCCGGCGGCGAACCAATAAATCAAGTACATAATCATTGAGTGGCCTTTCGTAGAAAAACATGATAGGTGAGCTATAGTTAATACAAGATCAGGTCTTATATTGTGTTATTGTATAGTTAGTTATAACTAACTATTAATTTCCTGGTTTAGGGCTTGATTTTGCAAGTGACAGTGTATTTAGAGTATGTAGGTTCCTGAAGAGAAATATAACACTTTTAGTTAGATTGCCTAGCTTGTCAAGTACGGGAGTTATATATGTTTTATTGGTTACTCATACCTCCATGTCGGCTCTACTAGACTGCAGAGTTGTATGATATTTACACACACAAATCCTGACGCTTCAGACGTAATGATCTTAGTAACTCGCTTATTCTTCTCAATTTCGCTAAATCCTAGGCAACATATTCTGCAGGACACGAACAGACCTATAGATGTGGGTCGCCAAACCATTTTCCTAATGCGGACTACTTTTTACCTCGGGTTATTTTGTATATCGTCCTAACTATTAGTTAGTTCTTGCAATTTGGTACATACTAGATCGTTAAGAATGTAACTGGTTCCCTATCCGACTAAGTCCCCACAGCCTTCTTTCGAGAATAAACGACCTGCAACCTTTAACAATCAGTGAAATACTTTCTCCGTAGTCTCCACAGCTCATCAATGGGTCGCCACGTGCCTACGTGGTGGGGTGGAAACTGTCATATCATATTGCGAGATCATCTGATCTCAAAGCACCATGATTTCTCTTCCTTCGTCCATAGCGCCCATGAATTAATTGGATATTTCCATTTCCAACACTTTGTAGACCACTTCTAGCATGTGCAAAAATTGAAAATCTCCCAACAGAGCGTGGGATCGAGGACTGATCCGAGAACTGATCGACGATCGGAAGGCCCCTTTTTCCGCACCCCCACCCTAGTAAGACAAAATGGAACCAAACCGGAGACGTTGAACGAGAACTCCGTACGGAGTAAGAATGCTGAATATGTTATCCACTCCAACATACACGGATAGGGGCGGGAGATCTCGTAGGGGGGAGGGATGGTTGTCCTCATTGAGATCGGCGGTGTCGTGCTCTGGGCGGGGGTTAGGACTTGTGTTACATGTATACTAGCGAAGATCATGCGAAGGTAATTGTGTATGTTGTATGTTGTAGCTATAGCTAGGTGATAACTACCTATACCAGTGGAGGAATATACGTCAGCAGTATAATATTAATCCTACTTTTCTCCGAAAACTCCCAAAACGGGAGTTTCGGATATTTTAACGTTTTGATGTACACAAGAGGATTCGCACCCGGAAACCCCTGAAAAATCATATAAAACAATCTTGGCAGAACTGTATTTGAGAACCATTTAACCAGAAACAGTCTACAGAACCCTGTTGGTCCTAAAGTGCTGGATCAACAGACTCTGGTCCCTCTAGCTGGAACAGGACTACCGTAACAGCCTTATTGATCCAAATGGTTCGGGAACCTGTCCCGGTATATTGTACATATGTATTCTTTAAAATACAAAAAAAAATAAAATAAAAACATCCTCACAACATCGAAACATCTAATGATATTCCGAGGATCCATGAGCCCCCCCGGAAGGAGCGGGGGTAACGGATAAGAACGGGAGGATTGCCTCGTGGCATAACCATTTAGGAGCATTGGCTTAAAGGCTATTGCGAGGAGTATACAAGACAACTCACGTCTCAGAGTATCGTTTAGAAAAAAAAAAAAAAAAAAAAAAAAAAAAAGCACACCCCACTTCAGCGCACTTGCAGCCTTCCCCCTGTGTTCTCCACCTGAGATAGGCTTTTTTTCATGTCTTAAATCCTCGCGCTTTAGACGCAGATCACTAGAGATCACTAGAACGAAACCGGGCGATCATAAGATTCTGCAATAACTCATCTGTCCCATACCACCTACCTAATTGGGTAAGTCATAGTGTCTCGGTGTAATCTTACCTTTAATTATGTTGTAGATCTGCGCCGTTTGGATTTTGAGTTTGCGAAGTCGTTGTGGAGGAGAGGGATATATTATGTTTTTTTTTTTTTTTCAAGAGTAAGCCCTGAATATAGGTGTTTCAAGGGAAATACCAACCCGAGTAGTACGTAGATCTTAGTTGATATGCACGTCTCGGCCTAGATTGCCAATCACAAAGGCGATGTGTGAGACCGAGTCTTGGAAGAGTTCAACAGAAAAGAGGAAGGCGCTAGAACACCCCAAGAGTTACAAGACATCTAACTACACAACTAGTTAGCCTATAACTAACTAGTTGGTCATCGTAAAGCTTTGCGAGGGTGGAACATGTCCATGATGTAATGTTTTTCGATATCTGTTTCAACATTACTGTAGCCTAGATCATGTTGAGTGTCCTATCTAGACATCAAAGCCTCCCTTGGCATATACCAAATGTCTCACTCACCTGTCCTAGGATCACGCATTGGAGGTGAAGGGAGAGAAGGTGGATCTAATCACAGCCAGCTTGTATGTATGTATCTTTCTCTCGAGTGGTCTCAGTAATTTTGATAGCTAATGCTCAGCTACTTTTTCTGTCAGAGCGTTAAAACTCCGAGCATACGATATTCAGGAGCGTAGAATCAGAGTGGGGGGGAAAATTCCCCGATAATATTGCTTAATTTCTTTTTTCAATATGTCATCCCCTAGCCTGGGTAGTAGGGGAAAAAAAAAAGGAACAACAGATTGTATCCCATATGATGCAAAATCAAACCGAATTTCGAAGACCGAAACAAACGCCGGGTTGTTCTCTCAGACGAAAACAGAAAATCTAGAATCCACGTCCGCGACCACGACCGCGGGGGGACCTCCACGCCCTCCACGGCCTCGTGGTCCACCACGGCCACCACCACGACCACGGTCTGTCTCCTTGCGGGCCTTGTTCTTGGGCTTGGGTGCGTCGTCGACGAGGAGGGTATCAAGGGGCAGGCTGTCGGGGAGAATGTAATAGCGGATCGTGGAACCGCGGACGTTGATAGTGTCAAGAGAAACAGTGTCACGGCCCTTGGGAGTCATCTTGACAGCGCGGAGAGTGGTGTTCATCTGAGGAGAGACGGCCACAATGGTGCCGTGAAGAATTGTGCCTAGATGAAGGATGAAAGTTAGAGAACACAGTTCTTTCGCCTATTTCGAGGATTGGCATATTCGGGGGAGGCTAGGTTGCGGTTTGCGGGGATTGCGCGGGGGGGTTCTCACCATTCTTCAGCTCAACGGTCACTGTCTCATTGGCACATTTCATCAAAAAGCTAGAAGGATCATTAGATGTCAGCAGGAGTGGGTTTGACGAGTGCTTGGTGTGTCAAGCGGAGCTGGCCATTGCCGCGCACAATACCGCGCACAATAAAGATGAGCACTTACCGGACGAGCTTCATGGTGAATCAGTAAGCTGTAAGCTGAGGACAGTCTTAATTTTAATAAACAGTCAAGACACCAGCAGATAGCTAGAGATTGTGGGGACCAAACAAGTCGTTGATTTTGATGATGCTGTTGGGTCACAGAGTCAGAGAAGATCTGATCAGGTAAGATCAATCACGTGACCAGACTTTCACATTGTCTTGAGGTTGGAATTTCATTCTTCGTATATTCGATCTTCTATACAATCAGAAAACTTTGTGTTAGACAGGTTTAATTGAAACAATGACAATAATGATGCCACAGTATATTCACCTGTTTCGTCTTCGACATACTAGTTCTGATCGTGTGTTGCATATTCAACCAATCTTCCGCCAGTCCAAGTGTTGAAAAATATGGGGTTTCTAGACTACATAAGCAAATTGGACCTTGTGTCATTCCTGGCAGATAATAATATGACCAAAAATAGCGGGCTTTCAACGTGTATCGTACCCAGAAAGGTCTCATGGGCTTCAACGGCTTTCATGCACTCATAGTTGATATGCAGGTAAGCGGTGTGTCAACGTTGCATTGTAGTTATCTTATAGGATCGACGTGTGACCAACGGGAATGCCATGTTCATTTTCTCCTAATGTGCCTCGCTTATTGACCTGAATTTGGGCAGAGTGACATGTGCAGCGGAGCGTATCTGCAGCCCTTGCTGTCCCATCACTTCACCTCTTTCTTAATCAGTCTATTTTAGAGAAATCCCAAGAACTTACATAGCGAATGACTATGCCAAGGCTTGGTGTGTGATTGATTCCAAATCAGTGATCTCTTGTTAGTAAAATGACCAATGGCATTTTGGCAGATTTGCAATTTATACTAGCAAAATAAGATAAGAATGGGTGATTGTTTCATACAATAGTCACAGCCTTAACGTGGTATCTGAACCTACATAATACTACATGAGTATGAGCAAGGCGTAGTTAGTTAGTTACTTGATAGTACAACATTGTCAAAATAGGTGAGACTATCCGAATACCGAATATAAACAGACCCCAAATCCCGAGAGATACGGTAAAAGAAACCGAATCAATGAAAATTTAGGGTGGCATTGAAGGGGCCGTTTTTGGCCAAGTCTGTTATTACATATAAAACAGCGTTAGTTCCAAACCCAAGAAATTAAAGATCGTCGTATATCCCGGCTTTAAAAAAAAAAGGGTTCAGAATATGGCCTTATTTTCTCTTCCGTTTTCCGTACTCCGTAATCGGCCACGAGGCACAAATGATCAACCGTGCATTAGTAGTTAGTTAGTAGAAACCACATGTCTTGAATCAAACTGATACATCTGCGGATCCCCTGTGGAGTGAGCCGATCATAACCGTGCCTGAACCTAGGATGGATTTTGTTTTGTTTTGTTTTTTTTCTTTTGGCGCCCTCAATTCCGAAGTATGTTAAAGTGACAAATTCCTTAGGGCGCTAAATCAACTAAATCAGAGTCGAACATATCATGACCCTGGCAAATTACAATTTGTCTTGGCTGTGTTTCTCTGTGACAAGATCCACCATTACTTACAGCTTTGCCATTTTGATATACGACTGCCTATAATAGTCATGGACCCCAACATTCCCGGATATTCGATTCAAGACCTATTTCGTATAGTATTACAGTACCGGTGGTATGGATGTTTTCTTTCTTTTTTTTCGGAGTTAATAAAGAACCGGGATCCGGGCTTTACTACATCCCTACTAGAACTGGATTGATTATTTGGGGCTGAAATCTTAGCCTCTGCCTAGGGGCGTTTAATGCTATATCACTTACCCAGATGGGGTCATTGGTATTTTCTTTTGGGTTATTCTTTTTTTTTTCTCTTTAAAACAAAGGAAAAAGAACAAAATAATATAACTAACTATATTGGTCTCCATTCATAAGTCTAATTGTCCTAGATAGGAAAGGGTTCATAATATAAACTCTCTTTTTTTTTTCCAACGGCGCCTTTTGTGGGGGCCAAGAGTGATAGGGGGACAAGCATCGGGCCGGGGATGGTGGAACTGACAACTTCAAGTTATTGAGCAGTTTTCTTTGGCTTATTTTCCCTGTTTTATATTTCTTTTTTGAATTGCGTAAGGTCAAATCTCGGAGTATCTAGCCACGCGCTAGACTATAGGGAGAGAGAGTTGTGGCCCCCATCCGCCCCCATTTACTATAATGGGGGCTAGAAGCCAACGATCCAATGCCCAGCCCAAGATTGCCATCTCCCCTTAGGAGGATCATTACTGTACAGATGATGGCCCCAGTCGCAATCAGTTCCGAGTCCCCTTCCCGCTTATCCTCTGTTTTATCCGTTAATTGTGGGGGTCAAAAGTCCGACTCTGCTCGTGATAGTTCCCATCGGCCCACCTCATTTGAAGATCTTAGGATTTTTTTTGTTTTTTTGTTTACTTCTTTTTTTTTGCTTTTCTTGCCAGGCTACTTATGATTCAAACCGATGATCTTCTATCATAGATGTAATTGAGACGGTGAACAAGCGGGTGGACACAAGGGTACGTTTTAGTAGACCCGGCACTGATCGATGCATACCAGTGGCGCACAGAAAATCTAGAAGTTGGTGTTGGTTTCTGAACTTGTGGGCCAGTAACTCTACCCAACTGGGACCTTTTAGATCATAAAACGATTGCGGGGGTCACTAGTAAACGCCCGTTGCTGGACATGAGCTTTTAAATACTTCATCGCACCCGTTCTGTACTTCCGATTGAAATCCTCTAAAAAAAAAAGATAAAAGCTTTTGACTACATTGAGGGAATACTCGGATCGGGACACTCAAACTGTATGTTGACTTCTTTAAGTGCCGCCTTTCCCCTTATACTCTCCATTTTGGCCCCCTCCCCTACCACACAGTACTTGCAATCTCACAGGTCTGAGACCCATATAGTTCCTAATGTTTCCCGGAGGATCTGGCTCACAAGAACCATTTTCTTCCAGGGATCAATCAAATCTGCCAGTCTCAGACTCGAAATCGAACGTTGGGCTTTCGTCTCCAGTCCAGTTAGTGGAAACTTCTGACTTTTCACAAAGCGTTCTTCCTGGATCAGGCTCTCCCTGGCCCATCCAGAACATTCAGAGTTCTATTTCTGTTGTACAAAGTGGTTCGCAATCAACACAAGGATTTGCACTGCCACTTCCCTCACAACATTCAACAAATACCGGCACGAGTCAACCTCCAACTCTTCCAGGCTCGAACTATCCACTTACAGAGCCAACAGCTCAGTCTTCTATCGAGGACACAATTCCTATTAAACAAGAAATTGGATCGCAAGATCCACGGTACGTAAAACTAAATCGCCATGAGAAACGGCTCAGGTTCTGTGCTGACTAGGGCATCCCCTCAACAGCGGCCTTGGCATCTCATCATACCCCATGTCAGTAGCTTCAGACACTTATTTCGCTGGCCCAATGCAGCATAATTCCCACCGTACGAAGCTCATCCAGACATTGCTAAGAGGCGTTTACTAATACTTTCAGAATATGGGTGGACAAACCGACCTTATCAGCCTTTGCAACCACCAGGACAAATGAGCCCGCCATTTCCATCTTCACATCCGTCATACCCTTCATCGGGCTATCCGATGGGGTATCCTAGTCACTTAAATGGGCCGCTTCATGGATACCAACAGCAAGAACATCAAATACCGCCATCTTATCTCGCAGCACCCGGCAATCTTTCCCGTCATAGTCAGCCTCGAAGGTAATCTTGAAAGTTGATTGATTACCTGGCCTCGAAAAGACTGACATTTCCAATGCAGCCCACCTATCGCTCGTTCCTATCACACCCAATCTGCTTCGGGAACTCCTCAGTCAGAGCAGCATCTCATGACGTCGTATGTCGAATGAACCGCTCAAAGTGTATAAGATTGAATGATCTGTTTGCTAACATTCAGGAGCAGGCCTCCTTATATGATAAACCAACCTTCCTATTACTTCCCTGACACATCGGCTATTCCGTGAGTTAAGTCAATGAACCCGAAGAGTGTAGTATACTAACCGGAAACCAAAACTAGACCGCACCCTACCTCCATCAGCTCTCAACCACCATCGATGACTGCTCCGGATCCAATCTACTCTTCACCCGAGTCAACCGCCGGTAAAGATTCTGACCATCCAATCCGAGTACTGAGCTTGCGCCCGCGACCGCAATGCTGGGACCATGGCTGCAATGGTCGTGAGTTCTCAACCTTCAGCAATCTCCTCCGACACCAGCGAGAGAAATCAGGAGTGGTGGCCAAGGCTGAATGCCCAATATGCGGTGCGGTGTTTACGCGTACGACAGCACGCAACATCCATGTTGCGCAGGGCAAGTGTAAAAGCTCAGGCAGGGACTCATCCGCTGAGTAGGGCACATGCACAATTTTGATTTCGGTGTTACAGCGAAGGCGCTCAATTCTAGCGGGACTGGATTTTCTTAATATGCATATGTATTTTTTGGGGAGTGGAAAAAATTATTCGAAAGCACAGGCTTGATGTCTTAATAGAACTTCTCGTACATACAATTTCTTGGCATCGGATAAATAGCGGCCACGTGATGCTTCGGCCCGTGCCAATTTGTGAGTCAGTTGAACTGCACTTCATCACAGAATCAATTCAATTCTACTGCAAGAATGCCTTATGTTTCTCGAGTTTTAGAACTGCTCTATCTGTCTTCATATCTGTGCCTATTGCCAATACCTTTGTTATCAGTCTGAATTGTAAAAGTGCCCATGGCATCCATCTTCACTTATGACCCTGACCCACCTCGGGTGTCATCCCCTTGGTCGACTTCGGGGTCATCGACTCCCCAAATCAATGCATCTGGTAGTCGGGGTTTAGCTATCCGCACGCATTCCGGCACCAGTTCACTACGCGTCGACCCTGACTTGTTATCCAACTATGGAATATCTAAATTGGAACCAGAGCCCCAGGAGGGTCCCACTGAGTACAAATTGCACCTTCTGCTTCGGCCAAGACGCCCCTATCTCTCCATGTCGACTGGGCATGTAGTAGCGGGCTCGTACCATCACAACTACCGCGCCACGTCAAGCACGTCTATGTCTGCCTCTCCAGTCCTGGAACAAACCCCAAGGCCCATGCAAGCCAAGTCTAGCCAGAGTCGCCATCAACGACTACAGGGGTTGACTACCCAGCTCCTGTGGCGTTTGCAGCAATCGTCACCTTTTCACTCATCAACTACCTCTAACCTTGTGGTACCTGTTCTTCCCGAGGCAGCCCTGGAATTAGGTGTGCCCTCTAAACCCGCCCGCTTGCTTCCCGGTCTTGAAGAGAGCCAAGGTGCCTTGTATGAGATCGGTGTCGGCGATGATGGCACTTTCGTAGGCCTCACGCAAGATGAGTTGGATGAGAGTGTGACCAATCTACAGGCTATGGCTGCTAGTCTTGGTTGTAAAGTTGAGATCCTTCGTCGAGTTGTGGTTGGGAATTGTGAATGGGCTGAAGATTTGCCATCTGCAGTTGCCGACAAACACAAAACCAACACTGAGAGCCTCTGGGTCGCTGAGGCTTTGGTTAGTCCCGATCTGGACTTCTACAATATCTCTCGAATCAAATCTGAGAACAACACAAAAACCGTTGCACACCCAGAAGTTGGCGGCACGTCGGTCTCGGACGAGGATTACTCTCACACAGAGCAGATTCGCATTTCTCTCGCAGGACCAAGCACCGCAGGAAAGACTTCTTTGCTGGGTACATTGACTTCGTCTGCGCTTGACAATGGAAGGGGAAAAAGTAGGTTGAGTCTGCTCAAGCATCGGCATGAAATCACATCGGGCATCACCAGTTCGGTTGCCCAGGAACTGATTGGGTACACGGATGAGGTGCCACCGACGGTGATCAACTACGCTTCCGGTAATGTTGCCGGCTGGGATGATATCCATGCCGCGTCGAAGGGAGGTCGTTTGGCTTTTGTGTCCGATCTACCCGGCTCTGTTCGATATTTGAAATCTACCCTGCGAGGACTTGTCAGCTGGGCTCCACATTATGTGATGCTTTGCATTCCAGCTAATTGTGATGCTGAGACACCCAGCGAACCAGCAGGAACCGAACAATCAGAAATTGATACGTGTTTGTCATACCTAGAGCTTTGCCTGAAGCTAGAGGTTCCTGTGTTGATTGTCATTACCAAATTGGACGTTGCTTCCCGCAGCGGACTACGGGACAATCTTGGAAGAGTTCTATCTGCGCTTAAAACGGCTGGACGACTACCTGCAATGCTACCTGCATCGCCTGCAGGCGACAAACCACTTGACCTTCAGCAAGTCAGCACGTTGGACAACACTCAAGTACAGAAAGTGTGCGCGGCAAGTGATGGGAAATGGGGACACACCGTACCTATCATGCTTACCAGTTCTGTGGATGGCTCTGGCATTGGAAAAGTCCATGCCTTCCTCCGATCTCTTCCCATTCCCACGCGACCCCCTCAAAGAACTCTTCGCATCCCTAAAGGCCTGCCAATACTCTCTCACGGCTCCGCCAATATCTTCGATGTGGATGAAGTGTTCGCAATCCCCCCCTCCAAAGTCTATTCACTAGACTCGGAGAAAGGGGGGCAAGAAAACCGCGGCATGGTTCTCTGCGGCCTAGTCCGTCGCGGGAATATTTCGATCGGCGACGAAATGGTCATTGGCCCCATCTTAGTGGACGTTCCAACCGACCAAGTCAACGAGCCCCAACCACCGGGAGGGTCACTGTCCCGCAGTGGGCCCGGCCCGTCGGGAGATTACCCGACATCCTTCCCGCAGAGCTCATTGTCCGGCAAGGATTCACAAGCACGATGGCAACGTATCCGCGTCGTCAGCGTAAGAGACCTTCGACTTCCCGTCCGGCGTCTAATCAGAGACCAAGTCGGAACAATTGGAATCGAACCGATCGGCGTTGCAGAGGATGGCCGTCTACCGCGTTTCGGCCGGATCCGAAAGGGCATGATTCTCTCAAACCTCCACGCCCCACTCTCGTCCTCGAATCGGACCTCGTCTGCCTCCTCGTTGTTAGCACTACCCTTCCACACAGGCTTTACCGCCACCTTCCGATCAACCGAGTTCTCCGCTCCAAATTCTCCTCCACTGTTGCTTGGAGGTAATGCTATTGCATATATCGCCAATATCCGAGCTACTGTCCGTGTCGTTTGCATGGCGTTAACCGGCTCTGGCGAGGAACTATCATCCGAACCGCCTTCTCCGACAGAACCTGAATTCTTCAGCTTCGACGGCGATCCTCAGCCTCCTAATGAGAAATCAAACAGAAATCCTACAACAGACGATACCGTGGACGGCGCAGGCGATGCAGTTCGTCGTCGTCCCTCGGCGACAGATATCAGCAAAGTAGTGTCTGGCGTTTCGTCTGCCTCTATTGTCGGACCTGCTTCTTCAGCTGAAGCCCTGAAAGAGGACGTCAAGATTACTTTTGCACTGGTGTCGTCTGTTGAATGGGTGGAACTCGGGTCTCAGGTTCTTGTTATGCCTGGTGTCTCCATGGTGTCTGCCACGTCTCAATCCGGGCCCACTATAGCATCTGCGCCTGGCTCTAGCTCTGCTTCTGGGACGGCGTCCATGTCAGGGTTGGAAGGGTTTGTGGGGACTGTCTGTGAGGTTGTTCCTGGGAGAGTTCCAGTTGCAGAGTAGACTCAAGTCTTGCAGATATCTCACGACAGTTGATGACATACTTATTTTCTATTATTTGTGAGCGTCTTTATTGGGCTCTTTTACCAGTCATCTAGATACCTGATTTCAGTATTCATAGCGTGTTCATTTATTTTTGTTTTACTCTCATATCTGTCAATATCCGGACTGAGCTCTCACTAGCTGTCAAAATAAGACATATTTACAGAAGAACCAATGGCTGAAGGGTGCAATATCATTGTCCTAAGAAAGTGTCGTCGTAGCAATTGACTAGGTTGCTATGGATTGTCTCGTATTCTTGACTTAAGCGCACCGACCCGCCCGAAAGCAAGACACAAGGCAAATAGGTTGGCAGCAACGCAAACGGTCCAACTTCATGGCAAGCGGAGCTCGCGGAAAGCTGGTCCACGGCATATATTTTTTTCATAAGGCAGGCCATCCCAGTCAAGAACGCGCAGTGTCCCGTCAGATCCGCTTTCGAATCATCTCTATCCCATTGCAATGTCGCTTTTTTTTCTCTCGCTTGGGTATTTCCATCAACTTTGTTCATCGAGGGCCACCAAGACGCTCGACCCGACGCCAGACCTATCCACAGTTTCATTGGAGGACTGGGTTTCCGGTATTTGCGTGATTCGGCACATTATCCACCTTTGCGCTGGTCGTTAGGGACACTGGGGTGGCGGGAAAAAGTGCTGGTTGAGCCGATGGTAGCACTGGCATTGCGAAGCTCAATCTTCTTGCGCTCCATCTCGAGCTAGATTTCACAATGTTAACTCCATTTCGTTAGGACTCATAATTAGACAACTTACCACCTTGCGGACTCGAGCAAGAGCAGCCGTATCACCCTCCACGATCGAACGGCAATCATCAACGCGGTAGGGAGCAGCAATTGTCACAGCATCGGCGACGATAATGCTATGGCCGTTCCATCGCGCGGGCATAGTGCGACTGAAAGCATCAAACAGATCCTGGGCCTGAGTAGTCACGCCCTTACCACGACGCGCCTCGCGGTCAAGCGCTTCACCGATGGCCTTTGACTCGCGGGCCCTGAGGGCACGGGTGTCGAGTGCCTGAATTGTGGGTTGTGCGTCTGTGAACGAGGACGAGCTGGAGTTCGAGGGCGGGGCGAGGGCGAGGAGCTGGAAGTTCTGGATGCGCGAGATGGGGATCACATGGTAGTCGCCGCTCTGCGCCTGTTTGGCGTCACCGGGGTTGGGTGCGGGGGCCGTGTTGATGGCGACGAGGTTGGTGATCGGGCATGCTGTGAAGAGCGTACCTTCGAAAGTCGACGAGATTGGCTGCGCGGTCGTGATACGAACGCTAAAATTCACGATAACGGAATAGGTCAGCACCTGCGACTATGTGTACACCTTCGTTGACAGATAAGACTCACCGGGCACCGATCGCCCCGCTCAGTGCTGCCTCCAAGGGCACTATGGGTGCCGCCATCCCGGGGCCTGCTGCGTTACCAGATTGTTTCTGCGCAGAGCCCTTTACTGAAGCCTGACGCTTGTTCTCCGCCATAGACCTATAGCTGTGGCCTCCAGGTATGAGCTGCTCAGCGACCACGATAGGCTGTTCCCCTCCAGATCAAGGAGAGTCCCGTTGACTATGTGTAGCGCAGTAGTCGAGTCCTATACGACGGTGTCAGGACATTGGAAGCAGATCAGCACAAGTTGAGGTCGGCTTGCCCTGCAAGGAGCTATTGCAACCCGGATTGTTTGGTCGAGGGTGGGCTGGACGGTGCTGTCAGTCGGGTCCTCTATCGAGAAACGAGCGTGGCTCAGTTGGAGCAGGCAAACTGGCACAACCCCAAAAAAAGAGAACAGAAAACAAGCACCACACCCAAACCAGGAATTTATGGAGGAACAATGGGCTCGAGGGCTTGCGATTAGATGGCAGGGTCGACGTTGCACGGATACCCTTTTGGGTTTAGTGTTAACATTCGATTACTTCATCGTCGCCTGAGGCAACGATATATATAAAACAACAATCACGACATCTTCTACAACATCACTAGTTAGTTAGTGATTCTATCGTCAATACAATGTTGAAACAAATATCTCACACTATGGAACCCCTTGGAAATACCAGATTCACTATACACCATTGAATAGTATGTACATCGTAGGTCAATAGAAAGAACGACAAGCTTTAAAATTTCAAGGTTATTCCTTGAGACATATTGTACTTAGGTATGTATTATCCCTCGAGTTCAAAGAAATTAAGAAATAAATATCCTACAAAAACATATACCAAGTATCTGGGGGTGGTTAGGTTAAACATGTAGGGAAGGTACCCACTGTGGTCGACCTAGGTACTGCACATGCTTCTTCTTAATCTCATTGACTAGCCACGAGATCACGGAACGGAAGATCTCGTATCCGAGATAACTTCGCGGAAGGCAGGGGTGTTTTTTTTGCGTTTTTTTAGCATCACATCTGCTCGTAAGAGACAAGACAGAATCGTACTTTCTACTACAGCTATGTTTAGGCGCCCGAGACAGACTGAGCCTGGCAGGCTCTCTATGAGACTTGTCAAAACACTTCAACCTCTCGCTGTGATTCCTTGGGGAGCGCTCGCCATGTGGTATCTAGGGGTCCCTATTGCCGTTGGGGTAAATTATACCTTGAATAGTAAATCTGAACCGTCTTTTTTTTCCTACTAACGATATTCCTATCACTGTAGGCCCCCATGGTTGTGGTACAAGACGATGACTACGCAGACGCTATTGAAAGGCTTGAGAGCGCAGGATTCGGCCGAAGTGTCCCAAAACGCGGCCCTCCTCCCGAAATTATAGAAGACCATCCAAACCCACAGCAGGTTTTGGAAGAAATAAATGCTGGCTACAAACGCTTGGACCGGTCTTGTGCAGTATTTGATTATCCGCAGGGTGATCTAGCAGAAAAGGCCTTGCAGGTATACGTGATTCCGAACTCCTTTGCGCATATTTTCCAAGAAGATATACCCCGCTCTTTGACTAGAATAAAAGATACAGCGCGGTTTCAAAGTTACGGCAGTCTGTACTATCCACTAGAACAGGCACTAGTGGAAAGCTTTGTTAGGGCTGCAATTGACGAAGAAGCAGACGCTGGTTTTTCTGCGTGGGGCGAATCACTGAGGTCTTGGGTATCTCTGATGACAGGTTACCTAGAGGTTGACAACGATGTCCTCGATCTATGTCCGGATAAACAAGCAGTGGACTGGTATAGTCATAACTTCGGTCGAATTCATGAGGCCAATTTCGGTCCCATTGACCGACGCATTTCAAAACGTCTAGGCTCAGGAAAAGAGATGCCAATAGATATGAGGGGTAATCCTCTTTGATAATGGCCCACATTCAGCTATAACTACGTGGTGTGTTCCTACTAGGGAAACAATTTAATACAGCAATGCATATCATCTACCAGTGCCACATATATACCCAAACTACATTCATCAAGGTTCGGTCAAATCCGTAAAAATGTGTCTCTTCAGTGTACTTCGTAGCACATTTTAGTAATATCGGCATTCCAGTCCTCTTTGATGACGAGAGTTGAAGTGAATTGGACCTAACTAGTTACTGTATATCCACCAACTAATTGGATACTTTGATGAGGAAAAAAAGGGTTGGCAGAAAAAAAAGGCTACCCGCAGGCGGTCAATTGAGTCGGTTCATTGTATTAATTTGAAACATTTTAAGAATCAAAATAATTGTTGTTTATCGGTAAGATGGCCGAGTTGGTCTAAGGCGCCAGGTTAGTTACCATTTGTTCTTCTGTAATTAGAATTTCCACTAATCATATCACAGACTTAAGTATCACTTCCAGTGTGCTTTCTGGTCTCGAAAGAGGCGTGGGTTCGAAACCCGCTCTTACCATGATATCTTTTTTTTTAAACCCTAACCCCTTACAGATTAGGCATCGAGAATTCATTTTCTTTGTGGCTCTACGGCGGTTGTCTATGAGACAATATATTCTACTTTCGGTCTTTGAGAAATTCCAACCTTGGATTCTTATGCGCTGCTGCATTGCTCCATTCACGTATGATATCGCGAGGGTGATACCACTAGTCAAATTGAATCGATATATACTTTGATCCCAGCTTCTCGCCTTTGATCCACATTGAAATCTCTGTAGAGGCACCGGATGGCACCATCTCAAGTGTGTAGTTGAGTTTCCTGAATCTTCGACCACCGGGGGCTTCATGTACTTTCCAGGCACTGTCTCCAAGGTGCCCAAGCTTGAACCCAATGGTAGAATGCCGCGTCACAAGGTCAGTCTTGTACTTAGGCGGGTGTTCACTCTCACACTGAAGAATCGTGAAATCTAAGTGAGATGGTAGGTGGGCATCCATGCTCGATGATTTGTATAACTTCTTCCTGATAGGACGATCTGTTTCAACCTCTTTCCCCTGCCCAAATTCATTAGAATGATGGTCACCAAAATGAGAATATAGTATGTGGCATAGCATACCTTTTCAATATACCAATGCATCACATTATACACTTTGTAACAGCCCTCAATCTCATGGAAAACCCTAGTCTCTTTGCGATGAACTCCCTTCTGATATTTCGAGGACTTCCGGATACCCAGAGATGTTCTGGAGATAGTTGAAAGGATACGAGGAGCGTTCGGTATATGATCGTCGATTGGAGCAGTTATAAGACCTTTGAGAATGGCCCCGCGGCAGATAGCAGAACGCCTTCCCAGAAAGATTTTAGATAAGTATACTGTAGCAACATCCACCACAACAAGATGACTTACACTTGGTCCTTGTCTTTAGAGCGACAAATAACGATGCCTTGACTGCCATATTTGGCATCAAGGGATTCGGATAGATATTCGTTACAGCCGAGGCCTCCGACAAGAACAATCCCCTTGGTATAATGAGTATTTCAAGCCTTGCAGAAACGAGACATTGCTTACCGTCACACTGAGGCCGTTGTCTTGGGCTTTGGCTATTTGCGTGCCTACTAGTTTAAGAAGCCCAGGAGTAGCTCTAGCGTCAAAAACCTCCCTAATATCAGAGCTGAATCTGAAGTTAGTGGAAGGTAAGTAAGTAGTGGGTTGATTGAAATAAACTTTCCTTGAGAAGTGTATAATGCCTCTCTTGATGTGAGGCATGCGGGATGTATCTTCCAAGTCTGCACCCGATAATGGACCATTCTCAATGGATAGTAGCCATTTAGCGCTAGGGTCTTTTAGACAGAATCGCCACTTAATGTCGACTTCCCATTCATCTTCCAGGATGGCGTTTCGGTGTGCTTCACTAAATTGAGACCATTTGAGACCAATACGCCTTGAGCATTTTGTTATGAAATCTTCATCAATGAATATACCACCACAAAGAGCGCCTATACGTTGTAAGTATATTAACTTTCCCTATGTTAGAATGAGTGGAGAATAGCATTGGCTCACCATCGCCTTCGACAGCCTCGGCTAACTTGAGAGGCTGAGTGCCCTTAACTTTGTAGGTGATCACATCCTATTAAAACCGTCAAAATATTAGTTGGCACCGTGTTAAATATCATTGTTCCTGCTATAGAACTAAAGGCCACTTACCACGGTGCCACCCCCGGCATCGCAAATTACGTACACGTCGCCTGGTTTAATGGCGGTACCATATTCAAGCAGTGCTGTCAATCCGGCTGCCTCGGGCTCGGGTGCAAGGACCAAGGTTGTCTCGCCGGCACTGCGACGGTCGAGAATCCCGGCCCTTTTGGCGGCTTCTTGCATTGCAGTACGTGCATAATCCTTCCAGATAGCGGGCACGGTAAGAACCACATGGAACTGCAGAGACTCAATCAGGTAATCTGCGTGGCCCTTGCGAATCATCTTGAGGGTATGTTTCCAAAGTGCGCGGAGATAGTCCGCAATGCAATCCTCCGGAGTTTTCCCCAAATCGAGTAGTAGCTTTCTAGCTTTGACAATCTGGTCTGAGTCCCGAAGATCTTTCCACATATCCTCCTTCTTTAGCAAAAGGAGCTTGAACCATTGTAGCACTTGTTCGGTGTTGTCAACTTGGAAACCCCCATAAAGGCTCCTTATCCCCGTTCTCGTAGCTTAGCCGAGTTGGAACCTTTGCTTCGGCTTTACGGGTCCCAGGCCAATCGGTGATAACGTTGATATCTTCCTTGTTGAAGCGGGCGACGGTTACCCACGATACACCGGAAAACCTATCAACCGATTATCAACATCGCAACACCCAGCTGAGGTTTGCATGTGGGACCCACGTTGTTCCAAAATCAATACCAATGATCAAGGATTTGTGCATAGCCGCCTGTCTGTCCTTGGTTATCCAACCGAGGTACTTTTCCCTCTTGGAAGTAGACACCTCGGAGGATTTCTTCATGTATTTCCCCCGATTCTCGACATTTTGGCGGGCCAACGTTGGTAACCTCAATTTCACGGCAGGTATAAGATGGCAAAAGCATCCAGAGGCACGATATAAACCCTGGACCAGGGTTTATATCGTGCCTGCTGGTGCGGGTGTACCGAGTTAATAATCAATCGCCCACTATTCTCGGCCACCTCAGCCATTTCACCCAAACCCTGCATGCTGTCTAGTGATATCAAGAAGTCCGTGGAAATACCGCTGCATGAAGTCACATGCAGCACCTGCGCATGTCGTTTCGCTTATGGTTGTATTCTTAAGCCAATGTTTCTGAACTGCCACCGTCAATATTATCCCTCCGTTGGAAAGGCTCGTGATGCAAAGCTGACTGCAGGTAATTTAATTTTTTTGCTTCTTTTTTGAAGTGCCTTGGCCGCTGCCACGTCGTGCGGCTGAATTTACACGGATCACGTCGCCCATGACAGCCCAACTTTACCTCAACCACTTTGTATGCAAATTACTAGCGCTATGCTACTGCAGACGGCATGCAGGACGAGTTATCCTGTTTTAATACGCAGCAACGTCAGATTGAGAGCCTCGACCCCAGCTTAAACTCGGAAAAACTAGCATCAACGCCAACATAACAAAAACTGCCTCTCCCCTGGTGGTTGATTCCAAAGAAAAAAATATTCAGGTGCACGTTTCACCTACTTGAAATTCTTTATCCATTTCGGTGTCGGCGCAAAACATCACGATCACAATGCAGGAACCAGAAGTTATAGAGCGGTGCCCCAGTCTCTCCCCAAGACCAGACACAAGGGATGCCGATCAGAACCTCCATGTTAATGCAATTAGCGGAAGCACCCGCGGCAGTCCAGCACTCTTGCCCAACTCGAGTCCCTTAAGGAAGTCGCCGCAAATAAATCCAGACTCACGGGACCACGGAAGCCGGGTTGGGACTCCACTGCTCAGTCCCCCCGACCATACCAATGAGGTCGAGGATTGGCACCAGAAATACCACCAGCAAATGCGCGAGCTGCTGACCGAGCGTGAGAAAGTGAATCGCCTCGAGGCTGCCGAACGGACCTTCTCTTCCGCAGCAATCGCCTGGAACGCGAGATGCTTAGAGTCCGAAGAGGAATTGACAAAGGAGAGAGAGGCGCATAATCAAACACGTCTTAAGCTGCAGAAACGGCAGCAAGATGTCGAAAAGTTCATTGGCTTGCTGAATGATGCCAACGAGGAACTGGGAAGCGCAATAAACCCTAACCAGGTTCGCCATCAGCTTGAAGATGTAGCAATCACTTCACGAACCAAACGTCTGCGGTCGAGCATCCGCACCTTTGCTGAACAGTTTGGCGAGATACACGCAAGTGATCATCCCAATCCACAAACTTCATATTCTTTGTTCAAAAAATACCTTTCTGTGTCCGAGGATGCCCTGGCCTCCTACATAGAATCTCCTTCAGCTCGTCCGAAAATTCTCCGTCCTTTTATATGGACCTTTTTATGCGAGGAGGTGTTTAACGGATTCTTCTGGGCGCCTCCAGATATAAGGAGTGCACTAAGAACCCTCCGTAATTTGATAGGTATTTCCTCCCCGAGCCCTCCTATAATCCTATAGCTAACAATCTACCTAGAACCATCGGAGGAGGCTTTATTGGACGAAGAAACAGAAGTAGAACGAAAGCAAATCATGTGGAGGGCTGATACAACCAACATGGTTCTTGAGAGATTGAACGAGAATACGCACGAGATCCGTGACAGCCGTGACAGCCAGCAAGATTTTGTTTCGGCTAAGGCACACAAGCTAGCTGGATTACTAGAGCCCATTGTCTGTCGTGATAAGCGGGCTCTCTATGCTCCACTGGTGAAGCTTTTGAACGAAAGTTTGGAACTCGACCTAGTGTTGAGCCAGCAAGTGGCGATGTGGAGTTGGGAGTTCCCTAAGAGACTGCCCTGCCAGTTTGACAAGGAGATGCACATGACAATTCACAGAAGACAGCACGGGCAGATATATGAGATAAAGCTAGTCCTGGCTCCTGCCCTTATGAAACGAGGCAAGTCTTCAGGAGATGACTTCCTTGACCAACATGCGCATGTCAAGATGGAGGTGGAAATCGACACCCCTCGCCAGGAAAGCAGCAGCCCTCGGGGTTGGAGGAAAATGGCCGACAAATTGCTGCCAAAGTCATAGGCAGTATCGGCACCTGATCTGCAGTTTGTATTGTCCATAGCTTGGACTTATCCTAGAACCAGTTACCATAGTTTTTCGATCTCTTTATCCAGTCTTCCTGCTTCATTGACAGTATTTCTCAGAATTTCGTACCATTGTATTTCTGTCCGGATCATTTATACTTCTGAGAGATCCGAGATCCAAAGCCCTAATTGTTGTCATAAATCTGGAAGATCCACCTCCCTACCCAGTCTTATAACTAGTGCTCTGGAGGTCAAAACCAGATTTGGTGCCTGAATGCCTTATGATGTATAGAGCGGTGCAAAATAAGGCATTCAGGCACCAAATCCCCCCTAAAACTGTCTTGACCTCAAGACTGGGTAACCTCCCTCTAACCTATTAGGAAGTCAAATCCACCTAGCTAGATATCCACTTCTGTGCGCTGCACAAATGACACATGCTTATTCGTGAGGATCTGCGTTATATGTGATAAAGGGGTCTGGACCATTAACAACCTCCATTAAAAGGGCACAAGAGATAGGCGCCTGGTCTAACTACAACATAGTTAACTAGATACTTTGTTATGGGGTTTTTTGCGTGCTTTTTTTTTCTTGATAAAGTATTGTATTGCATATTGCTCACTAACATCCTGAATATTCAGCTGCAGCTACAGCTGACCTCTGGGGTTAACTTGGCCAAAAAGATTCATGGATTAAATTATAAATCGGCGGATACTTCGCTACCTACGTAAATGGCTCAATATATATTATTGAATATGATCAGGGAGATTCAATCCCTGTAAGCAAGTCACACTAACATTGCTGAATGTCCTTGTTGGCACCATAGCAAGTTGGATGATCTTTTTCGGGGACCTTTTATTCTCTAACATCAAGGTCGCCGTTCACTTAGCCTCACGGGACTCCACCTATAGGAAGCATCTGGCGTATACTCCGTTCAATCTACGACAATCTTGAGACTTCGAAGTTCTTTACCCCTCAATACATTCAACTCTGGATATGTTGCATATGTTATCCCCTGTTCATGCAGGTTTGAAAAAAAAAAGAAAAGAAAAAAAAAACAAAGATGTGCTGTTTCAGTACTGAATACAAGTACGGGGTATTGTCTTATGTATTACCTTGGTACTTCGTCGTGACGGTAAATTACGGCCCTGTCTGCCTCAAAAGGTTCTCCTAGTGCATCAAAGTCTGGACTGGTTGTCGAGCTGGCGCCTTTTACTACAGCGAAATTGGACCATTCAAGTCTGATGTTGTTGGATATACATTATCTTTCAGACCTTCGATAGATGTTAATCCTCAACTTGATAATAGCAAAATTGATTCGAGTAAGCTCAATAGTACTATAGGATATAACAAGAACAAAGCACAAATAAATTGACATAACACCTCGTATGTGCCCTCGTATCCCTCCTGTGTCCAAGTTAAATGAGTAACTGCCTATTGATATTCGGCTTTGATGTTGTGAGAAGCCTGCTTGATTCCGCCGATGTAAAAATTGAACTCCATCGAAGCCCCAGTAGGGACCATCTCCAAATCATAGTTTAGTACTTTGTTCTGCTTTTTCCCATCGGCGCCGGTAAAGTCTTCGAGTTTAGACATATTCACATCGATGGCAACCTTTAGTTCGCACAAGGGATTCACAGTGTCATCCTTACGGTGAGGGGGATTACTGCTGTCGCATTGAACCAGTCTCTCGGTGAAGCTTCCTTGGAAACTCTTTTTCAAGAGGCGTGACCAGGAGTGTCGCACCGGGTCGATCTTGGATACATTCTCTCCCTATATTGTGACAAGCGTGAGTTGATGATACTTCAAGTGGTCGATGGAGTTTTTCCGATACCTTGCGAATATACCATGTGACTCGGTTATCGATTATAAAAGCGCCTTCTTCGGCATGCCACTTGTAATCCGGGTCGGACTTGCTATGTATCGAGGGATCGAATTTTGTATAGTGCGGCATCCCGAGGCTGTAGCGAGAGATGGTTGAGGTCACGCTAATAGGAGCGACACGTTGAGGTTTAAAGTCATCGTCGTCACCATCCTCTGCACCCATGATTTGGTCTTGAGCAAAACCTTTGTAGACTGCTCCACGGCAAATTGCTGTTCGTCTATATCATGTTGTCAGATCGAAGCCCTAGCAACCATCGTCTAGGTTATGTTGACTCACGGCTTCATTCCCGTTGATTTTATGACGGTCAGTCGGGCCTTCGAGTACCTCTCTTTTAGATGCCGATGAAGATATGGGCTTGAACCTAGCCCACCGACGAGGATAATCCCCTAAAGTGAATGAGTTGGGCCACGTTTGCAGGAAATAGACATGCGTTTGCCGACTCACCTGGAGAGTGAGACCTCTCTGTTTGGCCTTACTGATTTGCTCATCAACCAATTCATCAATGCGGGCGAATGACTCTGCAAAGGCTTCTATAAGGTCCTGTTCTCGGAACTGGATCCTCCCGTTCTTAATATAGGGGAGTCGTGATAAATCGTCCGACACTTTGTCACCGCCCTTGTAAGCCTCGGCAGGGATGGGAACGGGGTATTCTTCTTTGCTTTGCTTTGGGAAAAACTCGCGCTTGTAGTTCTTTTCCCACTTATCGCCCATGATCTCTTTGATGCCATTAGGGCTGAGATGCGTCCAGCGTCGACCGAGTCGATTCTTGCACAATTGCTGGAAGCATTCGTCAATCAATACACCGCCACATAGGGCCCCTAGCGTATATCCGTGTCAATATGTCAATAGTCATTACGAATGATATGTCCAGTTCTCTGGATACATAGAAGGCAGCTCACCTGTTCCCTCAACGGCCTCATCCATTGTAATTGGGTTCGTCGATGTAATTTTGTAGCTGATGAGATCCTTGAGACTCCTTATGTCAGCCGCCTAGAGGTCGACTATGATGTTATAAGCGTAAGTACTTACAACTGTTCCACCCCCTGCATCCAAGATAAGCCACGTCTTGCCGGGTTTAACCAAATTCTGGTGTTCCGGATCAGTAAGAGTCGCCATCGCAGCCGCCTCCGGTTCAAGGACAAAGCTAAGCCTAGTCTTGCCGATATCTCGAGGTGCCAATATCCCTGCCTTTTCCGCTGCTTCCTGCATGCTTTGTCTAGCGTATCCCTTCCAGATTGCGGGTACCGTGATCACAACGTGAAACCTTAAGGAAGGTAGAAACTGGTCTCCCCGGGATTTTTCAATCACTTCCAATGCATGCTTCCATTGGAACCGTAGGTAGTCAGCAACCAGATCGACCGGCTTCCGGTTCTCCCTCCGGACCTTTTCTTTTGCCGTAAGGTAGAACGCAGACGACTTGACACCTTCTTGGAGATCCTCATTGTTTAAGAGGAGAAGCTTAAACCAGCGGATAGGATCGCCCACGTCGGGGAGATCATAACCCCACCAGCTTTTTTCATGTTCATACAAGAGCTCAGTCGGGGCTTTGCCCTCATCACGGCCGCAGCCTGGCCATTCGCTGATCACACTAATGTTCTTTGCGAGGAACTCACTCTCCGTTGCGTATGCGACTCCGGAAAACCTGAAGAGCAAATATGGTCAGTCATATGTACGCAAGAGGAGCATTGGGGACATACGTAGTTCCGAAGTCGATGCCGATAACAAGAACATCGTCTGTCTCCGTGAGGTTCAGGCCGTCGAGATCGGGCTCACTGCTGTCTGAATAGCTGCCGCCGTCCTCGTCCCAGCCATGATTTTCGGAATCCATCCTATTGATACTCGTGGTGACCCTTTGTATGCTTCAGATCACTTCGGGAACGGATATTGAATGAAAGATTGCGGGAAATATGAATGTACTTAGCTCCCGAGGTCTTTCGTGGGCAGAGTCTGTCTAAATAGTTATAATCCCACAATCGTACAGGTTGACTTAGCTTTGGCATACTACTGTACCGTAAATAACCGTTTTGCTCAAGGTCATATTCTGAAATACAAATACCGAGGTACTGAAATTTGCAAATTTGTGTATCTTACCAGATTCCGGTCTCGGTGAGTACGGGGGTATTTATTGAAAGAAATGTTATTGGCTTGTTTTCCTGCGTCTCCAAGTAGTCCTGTAGACGTTTCATACGATTTACGCCTTACCTTCCACCTCTGATCCCAGTGTCCAGTGAAGAAAACCGAAGAAAAATAGAGAACCTTGAACACTTTTTTGCTCCTCAAGAACAGACTTCAACTTTAGCATTATGAATGACTACGATGGCCCTGACATTTTCGAACCAGAGCAAAGCCATGATGCCCTGCAGCCGACTACATCTACAGGCACAACGGAGCACGAACAACCACCCCAGCTTAATGCTATTACCTTGGAGGATCAGAATCCTGAGTCTAAATACCGGCGAGTCATAGAAAAGCGAACTAAGCAGCGCGATGACTACAAGAACCGGTATCGAGCAGCGGCAACGCAATTGACCAAATACAAACTTTCCGACGGAGGATTTCCACAGCTGGATGATAGCTACTTGATAGGACGGGTGGAAATTCTCCGGGACAAAATCTGGAGATTCGGTCTTCGTCATTATGAAGAGGGAAAAGGGTTCAACCCTAGTGGACGAGAAATTCTACCGGGTCGCGTCTTCGTTAAGCACACTAAGCACAACCTGCACCCCGACATAACCCCTCAAAGGGCCCTTGAATCTGCCAAATGGTGCCCCATGATCATTGAAACCTTTATGTGGGATTACCTCGTCTCTGAAGTCTTCAACCAGTTCTGTTGGGCGGGCAAGAATGGAAACCATATGGGCGATGTTTATAGGATTATGAAAAGAAGTAAGAGGCTGACAATGTTGTCTCAAGATCAAACGAGGTCCTCGCTGACTATTTAATAACATATAGACCAGTCGACTGCGGCCGAGCTTCAGAGTTTCCAAACGTGGTCAGCCACTACAACCAAGCTTATCCGTGAGTCCATGGGGCGCGGGGAGTCCGGATGGACTGGGAGTTACAGAAAATTATTGAATGATCTCATGAACGATGCATATGTAGCGATCCAACCACATCTTGTCGCCGAGCCCGGTGAGATGAAAAAAGAAATCCGCGAGATCTTACAAACCGCAATCGAACTGGACGAAGAGCTAAGCCAGCTGCTGGCCCATTTTAACTGGGAGTTTCCCAGGTTAGGAGAAGAATTTGACGAGGAACGGATGAAACTTGCGGAAAAGGAGGAGCTTCATTCAACGAAATCAATTAACATCATCATCTGTCCGGGAATCACGAAACGGGGGCAGTCCGGAAACTTTGACAAGGTAGACTGGCTTGTACCCATCAAGGTGTCTTGTTCCACTCCAATCGCCGTGACCCCCTCGATCCGTCACCAACTCAGAGAAGGGAAGTCCAAATTAGAACAATCCGTGAATAAGTGCATAACTGGGTGAAGGCTCAGAGTTTGTATTTTACTAGTCGCCAGAAAACTACAGAAAACTATCCCAAATAGCGCTGTACTACTTCTAGTATATTGTTAGTTGGTAACCCCCTTTATTTCTATGTCTTGAAGGTCATGGATCTGGGGGGAAATGGTTTATTGAAGAAAGGAAAGAAACTATCAATAAAATATCTATATAGATAGCTAATAAGATCGTATCCTCCTTCTCCGTTGACCTTTGAGAGCTTTGAGAGTGAATTAGTAGCATAGTAGGCGGTTGAATTAATTAAGGGCTACTGGGGCTGGGCAACTCGCTTGTGAACTACGTCTTCACAACACTGTCCTGTACCCACGGTATTTTGCCATAATACAAGGTCAATTTGCAAATACTCACCTACAAGAGAACTGGTATACGTGAATGTTTGTGTTGTAGCGAGTCAACAAGCAGATCCCTCGTCTTTCGCCAAGTAAAAGGCTTGAGGAGGCTTGAGCGTGAAGGTCCCTGCCATAGCGCGTGGTATGTCTCACCATCAAAAGATCCTTGGATAGTTTATCAATTCCTCCGCGGAGATAATGATTTGCAGAACTGTCTGCCAGAGTAATAGGTTCCCGCGGCGAGGCTGATTTTTGTATGGAGCAGCACCTGCAGTCAGCTTCCGTTAAAGTTAGTACTGCAAACCCGGGTGAAATCTTGCAAGGATTCTCCGTTATTCGTTTTGTTGTCCTCTGCCAGCGTTTTACTGGCCTGCATAATGGTGGCTTCCACTTTCAGTCTAGTAGACCCCTTGGGTGCTGCGGACAGTCTCTGAAGGCAACCGAACGATATTGCCAAAGCCATATGAACACGGACACTTAATTCGAACCCTCAATTCGGTTGTCTGGGGTTGCATGTAGAGCTGATTGCGATCCCTCGCCCCTTCCAGGTATTGTCCTTGGCGCGAGTATAAACTGTAGTTGGTATGCTTAACTTCGTATAACCTTACCTAGACAATAATAAGTCATGGCTACTTGTGCTCCTACCATCACTGTTCCAATGCCTGCAACAGCCGCGACCCGCTGGCAGGATGCAATCGATCGGCTTGATCCCGATACCCGAGCTTCACTCGCCGGCGTTGCAACCCGAAAACTTGACATCCTCCATCTTGTTGTGAAGACAGCGGATGAAAAGCGAAAGATCTGTATCTCCAAACAATGGAAGCTAAAGACTCCCAGTGGAAAGATCATTATTCTGCGCGACGTGCTAGAAAAGGTCGCAGGATGGGTAAACCGCCTTGTCTATGTCGGAGACACGATCGTCCAGTACGATCCTTCTCATGCTGCACTTCCATGGGCCGCTTTTCGATTCCTTTTGAACGTGACAGTCGGCGATGTTCAGGTTTGGGGAGGCATGCTCGTGAACCTGGAAACTATCGCCCGACTTCTTTATCATTGTGAAGTTGTTGAGAATATGCACCTCAAACGCTCGTTTAGCATGATGGTTCATCTGCAAGAAGCCATGACCCAGCTCTATGTTGATATCATGAGCTCTTTGTCCAAACTAGTCAAATACTTCAAACAAGGATTTGCAGGTATGATCGATCCTGAATACAAACCATTCGAGCACGGAACTGACTTAGCTAGAACGCACCCTTTGGAGTGCTACTCGATCCGACCCTAAACTCCCAGAAATGACAGCTGTCTACGCCCAAGAACAAGAAGTTTTGAAATGGACAGCATTCTCTGACTCGGAGCTTTCCCAATCGACAAACACCCAGGCCACTTCTATAATCTACGATATGGCAGCGATTTCTCGAAAGTTGGATGCTGATCTACCTCGCCTGATCGACACTAGCCTTCTCATGCGCCATTCTATAGATAAGGAAAAGATATCCAATATTCTTTCATGGTTGTGTACGGTACCCACCACTTTGCACCTTAGGGATATTGCGACAAGAAGAATGCCAGGGTCCGGATCATGGCTCTTAAACCACACAGACTTCCATACCTGGCATACTTCAAGCTCGTCCGCGATGTTGCTGCTACATGGTGTACGGGGTTGTGGAAAGTCAACGATCGCTTCATTTGTCATCGACCAATTCCAACAGCCTTCAGTTGTGCCTGGAGCGAGTCCAGTAACATGCGCATATTTCTTCTGTGATGACTCCAATGCAGAACCGGAACGAGGAAGGGCAGATATTATTCTCCGCGGTCTGATTAGGCAGTTAGCAGTGGACTCTGTCACTATATCGATTGACCAAGCTGTACTGTCTTTGTACGAAAAGCGTCTCGAAGCTGCCCAGCAAATCAGAGCGGACATGGCAAGATTGAGTGTTGAGGAGTGTCTCTCCATGCTTCTAGATCTCACAGCGACTAACCCGGCATATATCGTGATTGATGCAATTGATCAACTTGAACAGGATGAGCGAGCAGTCCTGATTGAAACCATGAAAAAGCTTGTAGATCAGTCTGCGAGCATCACTAAGGTGTTTTTTACCAGCTGCAATAACGCTCATGTCGAGGGATTGCTACCCGGTGTTACCAAGCTCCGGGTCACGTCTGACCGTGTTGAAACGGACGTGAGAGAGTTTGCAAATCGGCAGGTGGAACAGGCAAATGCAAGGAGACGCGTTTTAAACGGAACTGCGACGAGCAAGTTGATAGAGAAGATGAAGGAGCATTTGATTAGCAGAGCTGGGGAGATGTGAGTCATCGCTATGTCGCCTTTGACATAAAGACAATTTGGACAAAGAACCTAACCCCCACAATATTGATAGGTTTTTGTGGGTCACTCTTCAGTTGGAATTTCTCTGTCGCAAAAGAACAGAGCAGGATATCCTGACTGCACTGGAAACCAACTTAACTCCAGACCTCGACCAGATCTATGGCCGCACCCTCCGTCGTTTCAATAAGCTAGATTCAACAGCCACTCAGGCTATCGTGCACATATTCTCGTTACTCCTCTATGCCCAGAGACCCTTGCATCCTACAGCCGTGGAACGTACCCTCGCACTCAATCCATTACTTACCGGATCTGGAGCAGTGGATCTAGAAGACCTTTCCTGCAGTCTGGTCATACTAGATGTGTCACAGGGCGTGGCTCGGTTCTGTCATCCTTCCGTGCGTGACTACATGCGCCAGCAGGAACTGTTCTCTGCACAAGTTGCTCATCAAATTCTTGCCGATATCTGCCTGCTGGAGTGCGCTTCAGGCCCAAGCAGCGACCCCTTCATTGGCGACGAGACCCCTATACAAGACTTTTATCATTATGCCGCTGTATGCTGGCCAGAGCATCTTCGGAAATGTGAAGCCTCGGGTATAGATTATGATTTCGGCAAACATGCCGAATCATTTATCGCAGGTCGGGATGATGGGTTCCTCAGTCCAGCCTTTCTCACCTGGATGGACTGGATAGCACAGGTCTGCCATGACTTGCCGCCATACCATCATACGCGAACTCTGTTCGAAAACACCATCAACGACTCGTTCTCGCCTTTGTTCCTCACTTGTGTCTTTGGGCTACACGGGCTCCTGCTATACGTTCTGGAAGTGCTTCCAGACTTGGACATCGATCAGCATAGTGATACGGGCCATACCGGAATTTATCTAGCAAGCTCCTACGGCCACCAGAATGTCGTGAGCACATTAATAGACCACAACGCTAATTATAAGCTAGAATGTGGTGCCTTCGGTACCATCACACGGGTCGCATGCTTCAGAGGCCATCTAAACGTCGTCCAAGACCTCCTGGGGCGCATAGATGAACTAGAATCCCCCGAGCCTTTCTCTCGCGCATACAAGGCTGCTTGCCTCGGTGGTCATGCGGAGATCGCCCTACTCCTTGCGAAGAACTGCATAGCAGCCCGGTCTGCGAACCAACACTCTGTCATGCTCCAAGAGACCATCGAGGCAGGGCTTCCCAAAGTGCTGGAGTGGCTTACAAAGCCGAGCACTCTGAAATCGTGGGGTCTACCAAATTTAACTCTCAATGCACAGACAGGCCTGGTTACTGTGGCGATTAAGCAAGGCCAGGTCGCCGTCCTAAAATCACTCCTCGAGAAACGCACACATCTGATGCAAGCACTCCCTAAGGATTGCATACCCGTTGCCGCAACTTCCGGTCACCTGGCTATGGTCGAGTATCTGCACAGCATTGGGGCCAATCCAGATGAGCAAGGCCACTTTGGCTCTGCATTACGAAGTGCTAGCTTGGTAGGCTGCGAGCCTATCGTCCGTATGCTTATCGGGAAGGGAATTGACGTTGGGCTTTGTGGCACCGAGGGTGATGCGCTACAGGCTGCGTCTATAAACGGTCATGCCGGGGTGATGGAGCTTTTGATTCAGGCTGGAGCTAATGTTAACCAAGTGGGCAAGCCTTGGGGAACCTGTCTGCAGGCCGCAGCTTGGTATGGCCACAAGGACTCAGTAGACCTGCTACTTTGTCACGGCGCAGACATTTATCAAAAGGGTCATTCCCTTGATGCGTTGCACGCTGCCATCGAAAGCGGTCATGAGGAGATTGCGAAGTTTCTCCTGGCCAAGGGATATCAGCCACCAAAGGGCACATCCCTACCTGTGGCATCGCGGGGAGATTACGGAAGCTCTCTACTCCTCAAGGGTCGTCCATTGACTACCCCTCATTTGACTAATAGGGAACAGGTACAGGTCGAAAGTGACACAGAGTCTGATACATTCTCAGATTCAGAGACCTCTGAAGTCGAGAATTCTTCCAACCGGACCAGCACACGCGATGACAATGACGATACTGACGACAATGATAATTACGAATCGCGTCCATTTCAATATGGCCTTGAAGGGAGTCGACTAGAACTGAGTGCCGTAGCTGGAGATATACAGTCCCTACGCTACTACCTGCTCCGCGGGAAGTTCCATGCTGGGGCAATCGAAAGTGCAATTGAAAGTGCTGCAATCCACAGACAACTTGAGGCCTTGAGTTTCCTTGTCACTAAAGGCATTTCCCGAAGTTTGCTGTCCGCTACAGACCACGAGGTAACCAAGGCAATGACTCCGGCTGCTGAAAATGGGCAATCCGAGGCCCTACAAATCTTGGGTGATGCATCCAACTGGAAATATATGCAGTCATCAAAACAGTGGATGCTACCCTTTGAGGCCGCCATCGAGTCTGGAGACCTCGCCTGTGTTTCAATGCTATTACAACATCACCCGCCACCGGGTGAGGCCTTTATGTGGGAGCTTACCAAAGCTATCGATACTTCCATAAAAGTTCGAAGGCGCCACGTAACAGAATTTGTCTTGTTATGGCTTCAATGGCATAGCGGGTTGGAAAGTCCAGTTGCCACTGCGAACACATCAGATGTGACAATTCCCACAGCATCTGCAGCTATGGTGTCATCTCTCAGAACTTATCTCAATCCGGAAGTTGGTGTCTCCAAAAAGGTTGAAGACAGTCGCGATGTATTGCTATCATTAGTTGTTGCAGCAACAACTACGTGCGATCTCATTCTGTTGAAGCAGCTCCTAGCCAAAGCAAAAGCCAGAGGCTACATGAAGTACAATGAGCCGAGCAAATTTTTGGAGGATGTTTTCCTATCTGCTTGTTCACACTCTGTCCGTGGAATGGAGTTATTGTTGGGCTCTGGCCTCAGCGAGAATTGTTTCCCCCAACAGCTATTCTGCCAGGGCGTTCATGATGCAGCGCTTGCGGGCAAGGCCAAGATGGTCAGCTATCTTGCGAACAAAGTATTAGGGAACGCACTATCTGAGGAAAGCCGGCGAACGCTTTATGATGCCTTTTTAGCTGCCTCATATGAAGGTCATTCCCGCGTTGTGCAAATTATTCTGGATCTGACTAGCTTTTGGAATGGCATAGAGGAGACGAACAGGACGACAATTCTCACAAGAGGGCTTGTCGTGGCCGCTGAATACGGACGCAGGAAAACCTCGAATCTGCTTTTGAAAAACGGTGCGGAAATTCACGTCTGCGTGCAGGAAGTACCACATCCGAGGGGACTTGACAAAGAAATGGCCTCCTGCGTTGCGGTCTTTGGAGACGAATTGCCGCCCGCCTTTGAGTCAGAGTATCGACGCCAACAGCAAGCTCATCGACGTCAACAACCAGGAAATTCTCAAGTTTCCTCCCGCACAATTAGCCCGTTGCAGGCCGTCATACGAGGGTTTGAGAAGATTGCATCACATGAGGATTCCGTCGGGGATTCTCATTCTCTTGTGAAGCTATCGAGGGACCTTGAGTCGATTCTTGGCACAATTATTGAGCTTGGTTGCGATCCAGATGACCAGGGTGGACAGCCTATGTACCCAATTCAATATGCGGCACGTTGGGCCAATGAACGCGTTATTCAGACTCTGCTGGATGCAGGCGCTGAGCCAAATCGGCTGGACGAGGATGATGATGAGCATGACGAGCCATGGAAACATTGGTCCCAAGGGGAGAAAAGCTGTCATCCAATTTTGCTTGCTGCCGAGAGAAAGTGTCGCTTCTCGTACGCGATCATTGCAAAACTTCTCAAGGGAGGGGCGACTGTTCCCAGTACAAGGCAAGGTCACATCCATCCCGCGGTGTGCATGTCCCTGTGCCGGCCTATTGGGTGGGATAGACGGCAAATTCCGCTGCCAGATGGATGGACGGGTCGCCAGACTCGAGATCATGAGTACAAAAGTCAAGCACTGTCGATCGAAGCAGCTCGACAGTTGTTCAACGACGGAATGCGAGCGCTGTTAACTGAAATGTTCAAACAACTCCCGCAACAGAGGGCAGATGAACCCGAGTTTCAAATGCTCCTGACTGTGGCATCGACAGCAGGGGATCGTGTGTCTGTTAAACTGCTACTGAAGCATGGGGCGCTGGTGAATAATTGCGGTCGAGACACGGTCGACACACCCCTCGGTTGTGCGGCACTTCATGGTCATATTCACATCATGAAAGAGCTTCTTAATGCTGGCGCCGATCCCGAATGTAAAGGATTCGTCAGTTGTCCACAGGATGCTATGATCAAGGCTATTATGGGCGGCCACACCGCGGCAGTGCGACTCCTTGTCCATAGTGGTGCACAACGCGTTCGCGCCCAAGGCCGACGATCCTTTCTTCTCGTTGCTGCGCGAGCAAGAAATGCCCAGATGGTCGAATGCCTGCTTCAATTGAAATTCTCATTACATGGGGGCTCTGACGCATTGTTAGTTGCGTGTGCTAAGGGTGACGTTGATATTGTGTCGAGTTTTCTGTCCGCTGGCATTGATCCAAACACACCGGGCAAACTCGACCTAAACACGCCGAGCAAGGTCGAGTCAGCCCCATTGTATCAAGCTTCTCGTTGTGGCCATCTGGCCGTTGTCCAAGAATTGCTGAAACATGGCGCCGATCCAACTAAGAGAGTCGAGGAAGGTCTTGGTGTGCCACTCGTGATTGCTGCAAATAAGGGACATCTCGAAGTTGTAAGGACACTCCTTGAGCATGGCGATGTCAAAGTTGTCGAGGAACCTTCCTACAACATAAATGTTCTAAATGCCATCGCAAGGACTTGTGCTGATAGCTGGTCACCTGCCAAAGCTAACATCCTCGAGCTTCTTCTGGAAGTTGCCTCACAAAGAAGCGATTTTGAGACAATTTGGACAACGGCTATGTCAGATGAATCACTGTCATACCGTATCCATCTAATAGAGCTCTTGCTGGACTATGTCCCACCTAGCCCCGACATACTGGTACATGCAGCTTCCTGTGGCTCCACGGCGGCAGTTCAACGTTGCCTAGCTCGGGGTATTGATCCAAATAGTCCAAATCAACAGGGCTATATGCCCTTAGCTTCTGCAGCCGGGGGCATGAACAAAGATTTAGTCCAATTACTTCTTTCTCGGGGTGCGAATGTCAATGGGCTGGATGTGCAAGGTCACACACCTTTACTGGGCGCACTAGAAGGATTCAAGATGAGCTTGATAGCACCAACACGGAATGGATCTCACGGCCACCACGCCCTGGGCGTCGAGGATACCGTCTACTGTCTTTTAGAAGCCGGCGCCAAGCTTACGTGTGGCAACAGCCCAGAAGTTCTCGAACTTGCTTGCTCCCTTGGCCATACGGGCGTTGTCACCATCCTCCTGGCCCACCGAGAGCCCGACTCCTCAAACACTGAGCTCCAAAAGGGTCTGTTCGCCGCCCTCGACAACGATCATCCCGATAATGTCTCTCTTCTGCTCAAAAATGGTGCTGACCCGAATCGACTTCGTTCACTCCAATCCAATGATCCACAAGCTCGATATCTCTCACAAACAGGGGCAATGGTCGAGCAGACACCACTGGAGGCAGCTTGCAGAAGTTCGAATGATTGCCTAATGCGTACATTCCTGGCCTCTGCAACGGGGTTACGCATCTCCCCACGGGAGTTGACCACAGCGGCGAGATCTTCGGTGGACCAGGATACCCATTTGAACTGTACCAACATAATGCTCATTCTGGAGCATGACGCCTCTTTGATTGTGCCTGATTCAGTCTTGGAGATACTGGCTGCTGGGAATCATGGAAAGCTGCTAAAACGCGTGCTTCCGCGCAGCAGTTGCAGCGATCCGTCGCGCTTTGAGCCCAGGCCCATACCATTGGTTCCGTGTGCTCCACCAACCTTGGGCCAGTTGCGGCGCGCCGATATGCTCCGTCCACGTTACACTTGAGGTCAAAGCCTGATGTGTGGTTTGGGAGTTAACTTCACCCGTGAATCCCTTGCTGTAGGTTTTAGAGTCTATAGTGCCAATCCCTTATATATCGCCTATTTCACCGAGTATGTTTTGAATTATTCGTACACATTCTCTTGTCTCTCTATATATATACCTACTTCATGCATTATATCTAAAAGGTCTAAAAACGGCTAGTATTGAGTAGTCGCTATTATAACCATATTAAAGGATAGGAAAAGATACGCCAATAAATACGAGTTGGTCAAATCCTACGTAAAGACATTAAGGATCACGAAACCAGAAATAAAAAATAAAAATCCGTTCTATTTATCACTGTTTTTGTATATAAAGCGGTGCTTCTAAGTCACATTCTTATTCCTTAGGAAACAAATAACAATATCATCTCCTCAAGATTCAATAGATGAAGGAATAGGGTACGTCGAATGGAGAGAGGCACCCACGGCGTGATGAGCGGATTGTAAGAAATCTGACATGATATTAGGAAGCATAGAGGAGTGACCCCTAAGCGGATCAAACGTTCCCGTCTGCTAGGCCCGGGCCCAGGCCTGGACCACTAGCAGGTTCCGAGGTTCTTCCTTTTGACGCTTCCTGAACCCACTTCCCGGTGATCATCGCGCATTTCAAAATTTTCACCAATCGGATCTCGGCCCACATTCCTTCGAAGCCTTACTATGACCGATTCGGATAGCGGGGATGGCAACCCCACACAACAGCCACAGTTCTTACCCACACGCAGTGGCAACAATCCCAGTACGTCGGGTTCGACGAACAACGATCAGTCAAACCTGTCTAACGATTACAATGATTACGATGATGACATCACGCAATATGCCGACTTGCCTGAAGAAACTCCCACTAAGATGATGAAGATAAGGGAGCTTAAAAAACATAACACGAAGAACCCACGTGGATGGGCTATTCTCGTGGAATGTACTCTCATGCCTCTATATCTTAAGAAGACCATCGACAGCAACATCCCGCGACCCGCGAAAGGACACCCCAAATACACTAGATGGGCCTTCTGGTCTCGCGTGGTTGCTGGCTGGATGTACACACAGAGGGGAGAATCCAGAACATAGAACATTGTCCAGAATATGCAGATGACATGATGGATAAGCTCATTATGATGGTTCAGGGCAGTGACAATGCAGACAATGCGATCAACGAGATCATGAAGTTCAACAAATTACGACGATCGACTTTCAACACCGCCAAAGAATACATCACTGAATACCAAAAGCAATATCATGTACTTGTTAGGTTCAAAATCGCACCACACCCTTTCCATGCTCTCGCTCGGTTACTCGAACAACTCGAGGAAGAGATACCAAAGGTGCAATTCATCATCGAGGATATCAGCAATGTTGAACTAAAGAAGATAACCCTTGACAAGATGGAACAGTATTGTAAGAAGCTACAGAATGCCGTTCTCCTCTAACCTCATCATTTGCCGTTACAAAAAGTAATAGAAGAAGAGTATCACATGTACGAGGGAAAATGAAGGTATTCCAACCATAAACCGGAATTGCGATGATTGGGATTGAGGCCACGGAGGGTTACGGATAATCAGCAGAACAACATAACTAGTTACCAGGAGCTTCAACGCTAGTTTAATACCTACACCCCACATTCTTTGCACTCCTTAGCTCATAGAGACTGCTAACGATTGTAAAACATTCTGCGCCCATCCTACGCTATGTCGAGTAAATCGTCTTAATTTGTTTTTGCTTTTCTTCTTTTCTTTATGTTGAGCTTTCTTTTTGCTCTCACAGATGATATCGGTTTGGCCAGAGGGAGACGTTCCAAAACTCACAATGGCTGTTAGATGGCATATTCAGTAAATTGATGGTCTGAAACACTACTGTACATGTATGTTATCGCATTGTAACTAGAAGAAGTAACAGATGAAGGAAAAAGGATATGAGCTTGTGTTGGCTTCACCAAGAGGCTACTAGTCAACAACACCACGTAGAGGTCCAAGCTCGCTGCTGTTGGGGCCGGCTTTCTTGAGAGCCATGGCCTTTTGTTAGTTCCGCGCTGGGCTGCTCGACTCGTCAAAGAGGCTTGACCTGTTATGCTGAAGGTACCGGAGTTAGCTTATTTCTTTTTCTTTCTTCTTTTGGGCATCGGGAGATACCTAGTTCTTCCTTCTTTTCAGCTAGAACTGGATCATAGAGCATCCACCACTCTGTCATGATCTCGCATTCTGGCCGGAGATCAGAGAAAACAGGCGGAAGGGAAGAAAGTTTTGTATCGTCCTTCTTCCTGCATTCAAGACATAGGAGAAGACCGTGTGGATTAACCATCCATTTATCAGAAAGAGCATAGATGGGCTTTTCCCCCTCATTTCTGTTCGTGTGTCGTTCCCAGAAGAGTTTCTTCACCTCAATCCCACAGGAGTTGCAGTGGTGCTTGACCCTGCCAGTTAGAATATCGATCTTGATTTGATTCGATTCATGCTTCGGCGGGATATCTTTTTTGTCCTCATCAACCATATTGGCCTTTTCGGTCTTTTCGGCCCCGTTGAGCTTGGCTATCTTGTAATTCACACATGGGTAGCAAAGACCACTCACAATGTCTTTGACTGTTTTGCCTGTAACGGTCCTGTTACCTGGACGAGCACCACAGTAAGGGTTCCGACAAACGGCCCCCGAATCCGTATGTCGAGGCCGTCGAGGCCTCTTTGGATGAGGCTTATTCCAGCATGGCTCGCAAAGGAATTGACTGGTATTAGACGTATTCATCCGAAACATAGTGTATTCAGCAGGGGTAGGCAATTCAACTTCGTTGCAGTCTTTGCCACTGCAGTGGATCGGTTGCTTGAGATTTCGCCGATTATCAACCCACTGTTGATAGTACCTAACCTGACGGTGGTGATTGCAAAATGCTTCGTCTGGTAGGTTGCCGTCATGCTCTCTTTGGAAATGGTAGCAGCTCGACCAAGGATATGGTCCAAGCGGGTCACCAGAGTCTGGTAGCATGCGAGCAGTTGTAGAAACAAACTCCCCCTCTGCCAAGCGATCTATTCCTTTTCGCTCCCGCTTGGGTATGGTAATAACCACACAATTCGGGTTATTACACTCAGACCCAGTATTGCAGCCCTTGTTAACAAAGCCTTGATTCAATGGCCATGCTTTGTTTAAGCCAACAATTTGACCTACAATATGTAGTGGAGGTCTGATCACGGACTGTAGTTGCTCGTAGAGCTCCCACGTACTCTGCTTGACGAAGTCGGTCTCAAATGTCGGCTCTAGAAGGGTTCCAAAGAGGAACATGAAGATTGCTTCTAGTAAATTCAGATAGCCTCGTTCAATGGAACAATCGAATGCTGCAAGCAAGCAGAATTCTACTTTCTCGCCTTTCATAAGTCTCTGATAAAAGGCAGAGTGTTTAAGACGGTTCCATGTGCTCCGTGATTGGTGCTCTTTGACGCGAAACTTGCAACATATACTCGACCCTACGTATAGGGCAAGCGTAACTGTGCCATCGCTATGAATTTCGTCAAGAATAAACCCTAGATAGACTCCAGGCCTGCTTTCATTGCTTGCTCTTGGAAGCTTGCGAAGATCATCTACTGAAAATGTGCCTTTCTCGAAGAGAGCTTGCACCTTTTCGTCGATTGCTGGAGCCCAAAGACCCATAATAAATTCAACGCTGAGGTCGTCGATCAAGATCCAGAAACCTCGAGTTATAGGCTTATCTCTCAAAGCCGTAAACTCAGTTTCACTAGCCCACTTCTTTAGGAATTCGACGATCTCTTGGATCGTCTTAAAGAGTTGACCATTGACCTCTGTCATTTTCGCTGTGGATGCATCCATGCTGGTCTGATGGAGGGAAATGCTATCAGAACAATCATCTCCTTCAGGTCCAGGGAGGACTTTGTCATCACCGACAATTACATCGTCTTTTTCATTGACATCAGACACCCAATCTGCCTCCCAACCATCATCACCGCCATGTTCAGGACCTTTATCGCTCTTGTCGAACGGGGTCTCTGCACTTTGGCCAGTCGTGGTCGGAGATGGAGCTCTTGGGACAAGGCCCTGGCTTTTGGGAAAGAAACCGTCGAGGACGGATTGCTTCTGGCCTGCCCTCTCAGGGGCCTTAGGCTTTGATTCATTTCTCTTGCCCGCCCTCTGAGGGGCCTTGGGCTTTGATTCATTTCTCTTGCCCGCCCTCTCAGGGGCCTTGGGCTTTGATTCATTTCTCTTGCCCGCCCTCTCAGGGGCCTTGGGCTTTGTTTCTTCCTTTTTCCCTGCCCTTCTAGGGGCCTCCATTGTTTTATCCCTTTTTCCTGCCCTCTGAGGGGCCTCCATTGTTTCTGCATTCTGGCTCGCCCTCTGAGGGGCATTGGCCGCTTCACCCGTATCTTCAATTCGGTCGAAAGACAAGAAGGTCTGTCGGTTCTGGCCGTTCTTGCTAACAGCCAAGGGCTTCGCCCGTTTAGTTGACCTAACGTTCTCGTCCGCCTCTTTGACCGAGACTTTCTCAAATGGGTTCTCTGGTTCGAATTGGTCACTCAGGGGCGAGTTCCCTCTCTTTTGACCAGTGCCTTCGACCGGGGCTGGGGTGATACAGATGGATCGTGTCTATGACCGGTATCCATCGTTAGTTGATGTGATATATATAAACCACTTACTTCGATTGAATTTTAGATGAATCAGACAAAGAATTGAAGATTGAAGGATTTCGTTGATATACTTTCGATGCAAGTGGTGATATTTAAAGAAGTAGAAATCTAGTGGGGTAGACGGGCAGGTTGTGACTTCCCAGGCAGGTAGGTAGGTAGGCACGTTACTTAAAGCACGTGAAATCAATTGACTTTCTGCCTCAGGGCTCAATCTTACTCTCATTTCTACTCAGTTCACTTTAGTTCACTTTAGTTTACTTTAGTTCACTTCAGTTCACTTCAGTTCAGTTCACTTCAGTTCAGTTCACTTCAGTTCACTTTACTTCAGTTCAGTTCACTTCACTTCACTTCACTTCAGTTCACTGTCTTCTCAGTTCACTTTCTACTTAGATATTAGGCAACGCTCAGAAATCGGGTTTTAGGGCTGAAGGCGTCGATAAGTACTGCCAGCTTCTCTCTTGTCCAACTTCTCTCTTGTCCAACTTCTCTTTCCCTTCGACAGTGCTCTTCCTCTCTAACCCTTTTAAATCCTCGAGCTCTTGAACCTCCCTTTCCTTCTATTGCTTCCGCACTTGGCAATTTGTACATGCCGACGAAGATTTTAGCTGCTTTGCACTTCAGATTGGTATCATCTGCCCTTCTGCTCTACATTTTTCTCTCGCTCTTCCAGTGTTTAACCCCAAGTTATCCACCAGATGTGAGTCGTACCTAGGAGACCTAGACCTGAAGCTCAATTGGCATACTAATAGAAATCAGGGTTTCAGCTTCAAACTGTCATAATGCCACCACTCCCGATCTATCCACGTGAAGCAGTCGAAAAGTTCTCTTCCTCAACTTCTCAAGGCCCCCAACACGACATCCTCCGCGACACACAGAACGCGCTACATTGGCCCTCTTCATCAATGGCAGCAATTTCGAGGCAAATGTGAGGGCTAGCATGCTCGCACGCTGTCCACGGCTGTCATTGACTATAATCTGCGATCCCGTGATCTCAGACAGGAAGATGTCTATGTCGCCGACGAAATGGGCATCAAGGGACGGTTTCAAGACGATCTGGCGAAGTGTGCTTCAGAGAAAGACTGATTACCCGAAATTCACGGACCTGTATTGGCGGATGATTTTGGGCAAGGTAGTGACTGGAGAGGTTTGGATGCGGGATTCGGGAAACTGCCCGTACTGTAGCGTTCCTCAGACGGCGGAATACCTAACTATTCTGGACAAGTCCGGTGGCTCAGGAACTATGGGCCCAACTACAAAGGCAGTAGACTGGAGTCACGGGAGAAAAGGTACAGTTCCCAACGTCTTGGGGAGCGCTCCTGTTTTCGGGTGTTTCACATACGCGTTCACGGTTTCGAAATAGATCAACTAAAAGACGGTGGCGGATCAACAGGCCGCGGGCCAAACCCTTGGAGCGGTCTTCAGGGCCGAAAATGTGGATATTCGCTTGTTTCTACTCAATTCACCTTCTACTCAGTTGACTCTATTTTAGCTCACTTTCATTTCTACTCAGTTCACTTTCATTTCTACTCAGTTCACTTTCATTTCTACTCAGTTCACTTTCATTTCTACTCAGTTCACTTTCATTTCTGCTCAGTTCACTTTCATTTCTACTCAGTTCACTTTCATTTCTGCTCAGTTCACTTTCATTCATTTCTGCTCAGTTCACTTTCATTTCTACTCAGCTCACTTTCTACTCTCTTTTGATGAATGTATATCATAAGGCAAATGATTCTTTATCAAAACCTTTTAGAGCTTATATAGTTTCTCGGTACTATATACGATTTAGATTGTTATACTCTTCTATAAAAGGACTCCCATTCCGGAAACAAATTTCTAGACTTACATTCATCCGCCATGGGGCTTTCCGCGGGGCCGATGCGGGCGCCACCCACCATGGGGTTGCCCACCCCAATGTCAAGGAAGACGCTGGCCCTGAGCCACCAGCCGGTAACGGAGCGGAGGCTGGAGTTGAGGCTGCTCCCGGTGCCGATGGCACCGAGATTACAAGAAACATTGATGGTATGTCTAGTCAATCTTCCTTATACGTATCTCCCATCCAAGCCCATCTTTCATCCAACGACAACCTTTATATCTATCGATCGAGTGAATATAACTAACGATTAATTACTATATAGAAGATTGAGGCAGAGGTTCTCCGCGACCACGTCGACCTCTAGGTCGAACGCCGCATGGCGGTAAGATCCTATTATCTGCCTTGCTCCAATTATATTATCACGTCTATCTCTCTATTGGAGTGGTAGTGTTTGAGAATGAAAATTCTAATATGGGTAATAGGCAGAGTTTGGGACCGCATCGTACGCGGTCATAAGCAACCACGGAGGTGGTGGCCGCGGTGGTAGCCGTGGAGGTGCCCGTGGTGGCCGAGGTAGTGGTGCCGGTGATGCCCGTGGAGGTGGTTTCTACGGGGCCGATACGGGTCCCGCCTACCATGGGGTCGCCCACCCCAATATCGAAGAAGACGCTGGCCGTAGCCACGAACCGCCCGCCGCTGGCGGAGCGGGTGACGAGGCTGCGGTTGAGGCTGCCCCCAGTACCGGGGACATTGAGATTCCGTTGAGAAACCGCGATGGTATGTATAGTCAATCTTCCTTACATCTCCCATCCAAGCCCATCTCTCATCCATCTCCCATCTCCCATCCAAGCACACCCAACATCCAAGTCCATCCAACATCCAAGTCCATCCAACATCCAAGTCCATCCAACATCCAAGCCCATCCAACATCCAAGCCCAACTAACATCCAAGCCCATCCCATCCAAGCCCATCTTTATATCCATCGATCGAGTGAAGATAACTGACGATTAATTACTATACAGAAGATTTCGAGATACAGATGAACTTTGACGGAGAGTAATTCTTTTTTTTTTTTTATTGATACCATTCGAGATTGTTTTTTTTTTAAAGAGATTCACAATGAAGGAACTTGGCCCACTGAGGGCCACTGACTATATTGGTAGTAACCATACAGCTGTAGCCGACGCAGCAGTATAGGCGTCTCGGATTTCTTAGTATCTTTCTTAACTTCTGTAGCTTAACTTTCTGATTGAAGAATCTCACATCGCACAGACCTCTCCTAACAGGTTATGATTCCCTAGATGCTCCATTCAACCGTCCTCATCATCTTCATCTTCCATCGACGCCGTCATCGCCATCATCATCGTCACCATCGATATCACCGGCCAGGTCACCCCCAAAAACACCTACAAACGGTATCACCGACCTCCATCAAAACAAACAATCTCAACATACGCTAACGAGGGCTTCTCTCGCGTAGAGTTTTTTCCATTCCACACAAATGCCTCTCCTTCGACGTACCTCTCAATCCGCTAACCACGCGGTCAGTACCTCTCCATTCGACGTACCCTATTCTTCAAAGGTTTTTAGTAACTAGCTTCGCGGAGCTAAAGCTATATCCTCACCGGCTATATAGATTAACCAGCTCCCGAGGATCCCTCTCTTATAGAGTAGCTTCGTTATTCCCATCACCTTCTTTTATACCATCATACTTCTCTCAGGTCTTATATTAATACCGCTCCTAACGATCCCGCCGCGTACTAGAGTTACATTCTTATTCCTTAAGAAACAAAGAATAAAACCATCTCCTTAAGAATCAATAGGCGAAGAACCAAACAGCCTGAAAAGCCTATACTGTTTTTATATATCAAGCGGTGCTTATAAGTTGAATTCTTGTTCCTGGAGGACCGAGAAAAAGATGAAACAATCTCGTTAAGACCCAATAAACAGAAAACAATTTCATCTTTTCGCAAGTTTGGCCGAGTTGGTCCAAGGCGCCAGACTCAAGAGAATTTCCTCTTTCACTGTTTCAGTGAAGCATTCTGGTCTCGAAAGAGGCGTGGGTTCGAATCCCACAGCTTGCATATCAATTTCTTTTTTAATTAAATTTTAATTCCTTATCGATGTAATTTGATTGGTTTTGACATTTTTAATTTGTGGGGCGAGGGGCAACAACCATGGAACGGAGATACATAATTCGTGCCTGGAAACAAATAATATTCGTTGATATGTGGGGCAACTTAACTCATTTTCTTTTTTGAATTCTTCAAGTCTCTCCACTTCTGTTCAAGTCTGTCACCTTTGTCGCCCATCTGGCTCCCTCACCCCGTCTCACGGCCTATTTGCTACGGCAAGGCAAGCTCAAAATTCCCACCATGGCCATCATGAACGTCGATCAAGTTACCCCGTCGAAACCGGTTGAAAAGACTCCCAAAAAGACTGCCGATGTGCTGGTGACCCCTTGCGATCCATGGCCTGCGCCTTACTATTTGGATGGTGGTTTCCGTCGTGTGACGCCATACCATTACACCTATAACACCAACTGCAAGGAGCGATGGAGGGGTCGCCAGCTGGTCGAGATCTTCACTTCCGAGTTTCGTGATCGCAAGCCAGAATACTATGTACGTGAATGTTGGACATGCAGATGTAGGGGAATCGCAAACTGACAATCACCAGAGGAAAGCCCTGGAGGATGGCCTTGTACAGGTTAACGGTGTGACAGCCCGCCCCGAAACGACACTTAAAAACGGCCAGGTCATCTCACACACCCTCCACCGCCACGAACCGCCCGTTACAAGCCTTCCCGTGGGAATAATTTTCGAAGACGATGACCTCCTAGTCATTGATAAGCCTGCTGGCGTACCGGTGCACGCCGCGGGTCGATACCACTTCAACACAGTTGTCGAAATCCTGCGCTCCGAGCGTAGCTCCGAATGGTTACCTCGTCCATGCAACCGACTTGACCGATTGACCTCTGGAATTATGTTCATTGGAAAGCATCCCAAGGCCGCGGACAAAATGGCCGCTGCGCTCAAGGCCCGGTCCGTACAGAAGGAATATGTCGCGCGTGTGAAGGGCAAGTTCCCGGACGGCGTGATTGTCTGCGATCAGCCAATCATGCAGGTTAGCCCGAAACTGGGTCTGAACCGTGTACGTGCCACCGGAAAAGAAGCGACAACCAAGTTCCGTCGCTTGGCTTACTACCCTCCCGAGGTCGCAAAGGATACTGAGTCATCCAGCGACGACGAGCGTCCCGCTACCCCGGCCGCGGAATTGGCCAATGAGTCCGAGGGCTACAGTATCGTGCACTGTTTCCCACTGACAGGCCGTACCCACCAAATCCGTGTCCACCTCCAGTTCTTGGGCCACCCGATTTCTAACGACCCAATCTACTCCAACCGCCGTGTGTTTGGGCCCGACCTTGGCAAAGCTGAGGTGACCGCAGAGCGCGATGAAGAGATCGTCGCGCGGTTGTCTCTCATGGGTAAGACCGAGATTCCCGATACAGTTTCGTACCGCACACACCTGACCGCGGCGCCGAATGTCCCACCGAACACCGACCCGGTGCTTGTCAATGAGATCATGCACCGCGAGCAGATGGCCGCAGCTGAGGACTACGCGAAGCGCAAGGGCGAACGTCTGTCCGGCGACCTCTGTGAAGTCTGCGGCACAGAGCTGTACTCGGACCCGGGGCCCCATGAACTGGGTATCTTCTTGCATGCTGTTGCGTATGCCGACAAAGATGGTGATTGGGGTTACCGCAGCCCCATGCCTCGCTGGGGCTTGCCTCCTGCGGGCATGGAGGGCCCCCGCGGGTGTCCTGACTGGGTTCCTGCGGCTGAAGGCGAGGAAATTATCATTGGCCATGGGACTATTCCGCCTGGCCTGGGTGATGATGACTATGCTGCAGACGCAAAGACTGGCTCTGTGCTTCTAGAAGGCGTTGGTCTTGTTAATATCTCCGAGGCTGCGAAGATGAACGAGTCTGCCCGTGAAGCTGTAGAGGCACCTGCTACGAACTAATGATGTTGTCTTTTACGGGTTCCTTTCTTCAAACTACCATATCATATTTCTCAAAATGTCTTTGCCCTTGTCTTGATACCACTTTGCTGACTTGCCATGAAAAGTTCACGAGCATAGCGTCTTGGTCTTGGTCTTCCATGACATGTCGATACATCGATTCTTTGGTGTTCATTTCTAGCATATAGATTTGCTGCTGTTAGAAGTCTTATAGAGATATGTGCAATATATCAAAATTCATTCATACAGCATACCACTTGTAGATTCAGAATCTATGTAACTATATACTCTGTATTAGAGGCCCGAGGCATAGTCTAAATTCCTGAACATTAAACTTGATATATTCTGCGAGAGACCATGTAGGGACGATAATGTGGGGCTCGCTTGCCATTGCAATCCATTTTATATATATAAAGCTCCAGCCCAGCACCTTGGCGTCGAAAACAGGTCGCTCGTTTTCCTGTTCCCTACACAGCCTAGATCTAGCTCAACGTGATAAATCCCAAGATCCCATACAGAAGAACACCATCCATTCCCAATAAAGAGCCATCTCATATATAATTCTTTGCCAATTTCGCTATCCAACCAACGCTATAAATGCCGCTATCTTTTAACCTTGATGCAAAACAGACCAAAACATAACGCTCAACGCTAAACGCCTAGTAATGTATCTCAACGATATAAGAAACTCAACCCTAAATTCTGAAATCTAGCTAGTGACCCACATCACTTTCTCACACTGCTCCATCCGCTCCAACGCAGCATCAACACGCCACAGCATCGTCCCTGACTGAGTTCCTGGCTGGGGTTTTCCGCGTAGCACCGCATTGGACGTTGTGCAGCGCAAGTCGGCTGTCAGACGGTACTGGATGCACTCTGGGTCTGCGGCACAGTAGTCTGCACAGGCGGCGAGAGAAGTAGGTGTCTTCGGACCCTTGTAGTCATCTCTGTCGTCGCCTGCACTCGCAGAGTTGTCCCAGTTATCTAGGTGGTCTGCGAGTGTTGGGCGGACGAGGTTGCGGAAGATGTCACTATATGTGAGGACATTTGAGTTCGTCTGGTGTTTGTTAGTGAGATATTCATTCCAGGGAGATTAACATCAGATATCCCAGCATGGGTATCTGGAAACAACTTACATCCGCAAACCACTGCTGCTCAAATTCCCAAAACCGATCCACATCCGCCGGCGTCATATGGTGGAACGTAAAGGGCGCAAAACACCAAGGCGTCTTGCCGAACGCCTCATGCAACATATCCTGTTCCCAAACCGACTGCGTAGTAACATGCGGCCAAGACCAAGTAAGTGCAATCCCAGTCGCAGCAAGCACCCTCCCAAGCACACAATCTCCCGCCCATTCCTGATCAGTGATATCATCCCACTCATCAATATGCAATTTATGAAAATCCGCAACGGCATGAATAGCCGCGTTGGAAAGTACAAATCCGGACCCACCATGCGCAAACAACGTAGACGCAATCTGCATCTGATTCCCCAGATATAGTCTCTCCTCGTGATTGAAATGCGCCAGCCACGAGAGCAGATTCGCCCACATCGGATATGTATCCGCTTCCAGGAACACGAACCACTTTGCGTCTGGCTTCGCGTCTCGCGCGGAATGAATCATAGGTAGGAATTTCCACTTGTCCAGTTTCCAGCCTGGGTTGTTGGTCATACCTGACGGGCCATTGGCGACTTTCGTGTGGTCTTGCGAGGTTAGAGCTGTGTGACCGCCTGCTCGGGCGCGGTTGTATATGGCGAAGTCTTCGTTGGTTTGTTTGAGAGTGTCGGAGACATTGAGGAAGACGTCTTGCGTGCGTATTCCGGCTATGTCTTCTTCGAAGTCGGAGACGATTATTTTGTGCGGAACACAGCGGAGGGTTGTTCTTAGATGGACCGGGACTTTGTCTTGGGCTTCTGTAATGCCGGTTTTGACTACTACCAATATAGACTCCATTCCTGTGTCTGTTGGACAGGATGGGGGGACATGGTCGGTTTTGGTTACTGGGTCGGTCTCGTTGTGTGTATCAATCGTTAGCCCGATGCCGGGTTCGATCACGTCCAGCGTGATATTTGAGCCGAACTCGGCGTGTATGAATTGGACGATCCAGAGGATTAGGATCACTGGGCCTAGAATGAGGACCCAGCGACCATATCGGTGTGGGAGAGAGGGCATTTTCGGGGATTGGGGTTGATAGAGGCAGAGGGGAAAAGAATCCAGGAAAGGGGTTTAATGGATATGGAATGATCTATCGGTCTCCATATCCAGATGGAGACCTAATATAAGACATAAATGTCGATGGGATCGTCAGGAGGGGGTCTCCAAGTTCTTAAGTGATGGGCGTGTGGGGGCTGATACATATGTACATCAGTGACATTCAAACCAGAGTTGTGTCACCATTATTCTCGAGGATTCAACAGACTTGAGACATTGACCTGGATGATAACTAGATGTATGTGTCCTGATGTCCGGCTCTATCTTGATCCTGTGCTCCTATGTCGTGCTGGTCTCGGAACT